GTTTGTCTTTGCAACAACCCAACAAACAAACCACCAAGAACAGATCAACAAACGTACCGTATGAGATTAACACAAAACCATCAAACATTTTCACAAATTGGAAATTATAAACGATCCACAATGAATGATATACAACAACCAGTATTCCCATTTCAAAAGTAGGTAGATTAAGAATAGTGAAAGATGATAGGAATTATTGAAAGTACGATAGGAAAATAGTGTAATAATTTGGTGGAATGTAGGATAAATCCAAAAAAAGTAGTTGTAAAAGTGTATTATTTTAAGAATTATTGAGGGTATGATGAGAAGATTTGGAAATGGGAAGATTTTTTTGTTACATATGAAAAAGGAAAGTGGGAAAATTTTTAAGTTACGGAGGGAGTAATAATTAATACTCCGTACTTCTTTCGTCCCAAACTGATTTGCAAATTCAGTTTTTTAGTCAAACAATTTCATTTTATTCACATGATTAGGTTATCAATTTATAATTATATTATACTTTGGATTTTGCAACTTTATAGAGATTTTAATGTAATTTTCGAATATGTAAATTTCAATTTTTAAAATTAAATTAATTATCAATTAGGAAGATTCGACTTTAACATTGGTCGACCAAAAACTTTGCAAATCAATTTGAGACGCAAACCGGACATGACAATATTCTAACAACAATAAATGATGAATAACCATGTATATACACAATTTATACACCCAATCTTTTACATTATCGTTCATATTGCAAGATATAAATGTAGTCATATTTATGCAATATTATTATATGATATCGACTTACCAACAAAAATATACTCCGTATTAATCTAACAGCGAACATCATGAACAACAAACAAATTCATAAATTTTAAATCTTTAATTGAATTAATTCAATTTTAAAAATTCCTTATTGACTCATTACGGTTTACAAAATCTATATACTCAGATCAGTATTAATTTAACTGCGAACATCATGCACAACAAACAAATTCTTAATTTCTAATTCTTAAATTAATTCAACAAAAATATACTTCATATTATACTCCCTCTGTTTCATAAAAAATTATCATTTCGGTTTACGATATTCGACTGACGATAAAGCTAATAGTTCATCTAAACACTCATACAGAGTATTATTTTTAGTAAATAAAAATATTCAAAAATTACATTAAAAAATCTATAAATTCGCCAAAAGTAATTCAAATTTGATAAAGTTGAAAATATAAAGTAAAAAGTGATGTAAATTGACCAAGTGAATAATGAACGAGAACTTCATTTTGGGGCGAAGGTAGTATTTGTTAAAATTTAAAATGTTTTTTCAAAATTTGTCATCATTAACTGAAGAAATAAAAAATGGCTAACTACAAAGAAACAAAAAGGGTATGAGGTCTGACCTATTCAAAGCAAAGTTTGTATGCCTGGCCCAGATCATGTGGGCTAGTGATGGCAACGGGGCGGATCGGGGACGGGTACACATAAAACCGGAACCGCCCCGTTGGATAAATGTTTGCCCCAAAACCGCCCCATTACCCATTCGGGTAATTTTTATTTGAACCGTACCCACCCCAACGGGGAATCGGTTTATCCACGGGTAACCGTTTCCCCAAATGATACCAAATAACCAACTTTTTTTGGGAAAATAAATAACCAATTTTAATCCTACTTGTTATTTAAAGCACCCTAAAACATACAAAAATAAACATTTAAGCAATCAAGCAGACTGACCTAAATTCATTAGTATGACATGCACCCAATATCTCTTGTAACATAATAAAAAAGTAGTAATCATCCCAGAATCCAAATTTCAAAAATAAGTTTAGGCCTATATTTAGTTTTAGGCCTAAAAAAGTAGTATACTTTTTAGCATTATTTATATGATATATCTATATATATATATATATTAAAACGGAATAGTGTGAAGGAGAATTGGGCGGGAAGTGTGAACACAATAGATGGCAACATGCCTGAACATTAATTAAAAAAATCAGAGTAAAAGAAAACAAACAGTACTGCATTTAATAAACTTCGTATATTTTAGTTTTGTCAGTTCCAATGCATGCGTAACGCATGAGTTCCTCTGCATTTGGAAGAAGACGCATGCTTTATCGATTTTAATTTAAAATAGAAAAGAAAAGAAAACATTAAATACAAACGGTTGAAATCTAAAGTGTAGAGATCGAGGAGTTTCAATTCATTGCAAAGTCTCGGGTGAGTTTTGGATTACCCGATAATCATTTAATTTGTTGGGTATTTGGCCAGTCAGCTTCCTTAGATGACTCCTGCACATTCTATATGCGGAGTATATATATAGAGAGTTGTTTGTTAGCACAAACACTGCCAATTCAAGGCACCAACTAGGCAACTAACCAAACCAAGCGTATGAGAAAATTTGAAAAGTGAATATCAAGCTATTCTTTCTTTCATTCGTTTCATAGTATGTGAATTGCAGTACAGTCATTGCTTGGCGGGTTCGTGCAATGGAAACCACCGGAGGGCCACTGAGGGTGTTCTGTAGTACACCTTTGAGCGGGCATACTATATATACTTTGATTGTATGTAGCTGGTATTGAGGTTATGCTTCGAATGACAGTGACGACATTAGGAAAGCCAATTAAGAAAATGGATTTTGCCGGACGCCCAGTAAGAGATGTGATTTCATCTTATAGTCAGAGTGTTGGAGTATACTTAATGACTAAAACATTGCATGCTTTCTAGCTTATGCTTTGATAACATCAGCTAGAGCAAAAAAAACAGTGTATCGATCGATCTGTCAGGAAGAAAAGATAAAATGTTTTGATCAATTTTAGCTATCATTATTGGTAGTTTCTTTAAACACCTAGGAGAGAAGCATTTGGGTTGAAGTCATGCTGTAATTCAGTGGCTCCATGTCGAGTGGAAGTCATTTTTTAAAATTAACTGGGTAAATTGAGTGGCTCCATGTTGAAAATTAATGAATTCGTAGGTTTTATTAAAAAACATCATACCAATAGTTCCGTTACATGATTAAAGAAAAATATTGACAATTGAAAATTATCGAAAGGCATTTCGATTGAGATAGGCTTTACAAATTACGAGGATGTATAATTGGGTAGCTCCATGTACTCATGTAAGTAGTATATGGTGTTTTGTTTTTACATAACCAAACATTTAGGGGAGTAGCAAGTAGCAACTGTGGGTATGCGCCCTATAGTTAGTTTTTTGAAAGAGTTATTAAATTTTCCCCAGTTTGTGGGTTGTAATGACGTGCACTCTTTTGGTCAATTGAGTTAGGGGTGAGTAAATAACCAATAAAACCGAAAACCGACACCCGAACCTACTGCAAACGTCGATTATCGGTCGGTCATCAGTTATTACATATTAAAAGAGAAGTCGGTTAATTAATCGGTTTAATGGCCGGTTATTTTAATCGCTTACCGATCGGTTAACCAAAAACCCTCATATTGTCTACTCCGTAAAACATTTGCATGTACTTCATGAATGCTATGATGTTTCACTTAATAACATATACGTAGTATATCATAATTTTTTTTTCCCCGGTTCAAACCACACGAGGTGAAGGGGGTGTCGGGGAACACCCCCTAATAACACATATCATAATTACCTTAAGAAATAATGTCAAATATATGACCAAATTGAATATTGTGGATACAAATGTCTTTTCATACTTTATGACTATAATTGTAATTTTAATGTGCATGATTGTGTTCATGATTGTGTTCAATTTTATATTATAGTAATCATGAATGATATACTCATGTTAACTTTAGTCATATTTAAGTTTACTTTAGTATGCAGTACATAGTAATATTTAAGGAAATCGCTCATATTTTAATAAATTTCATGTATTTAGTATTTCTTGGTTGACCCAAAAGAGATAAAATGACACTCATGCACAAGAAAAGCTACCCGCAGCGTAAGAAAACTAATTTTATTATGAGATAATTTAATTCATTTCTTCTTATTTATTACATGAATGGAGAAATGGCATTTTATATATGATCAATTATTTCATTCATTTTGTTTTGTAGTGTAAAACATCAATTATTTTCATCCATTTTTGTATCAAATGAATTTTTCTAATATGTTTATTTAAAGCATTCAAATTTTTGAAAAAACATGCTTAAAAAATTTATATGATCGGTTATTGTCGGTTATTCGGTTACTGACCGAAACCGAACTACATTTTTCGGTGGGTTATAGTGATGTTATCGGTCGGTTTTCGATCGATTGTTAGAGTGAAAAAACTTGGTCAGTTATTTGGTTATCGGTCGATTATTTGACTGACCGACCGAATGCCCACCCCTAATTTGAGTCCTATTGTGACTATTGATACAAAATTATCGGTGAATCATAATTCTTTATTCACCCATTATCGGTTACATACAAATGTAACTTACATATATAAATGTTACATACAAGGAAGTATTTTAAAATCTGTAAATTTTTATCGTTTCTATCTTTTTTTTCAATCACCAAAATGAGTTGGGTAAATGTTGGGGGACATTTACCAGATTTTATCGCTTCTATCTTTTATAACTAATTTTATTAATTTGAATATAAATTTTATTTGTTTACTATAGATACATTAATTTTGAATATTCAAATAAACAAATTCACATATTAGAATATTATCCCGTGCATCGCACGGGTACTATACTAGTACTATTTATTATACACAATTTAGCATATATAGTTATTATTCTTATATATGAAAAGTTATAATTTATTAATAATGTTATCGATCGGGTAACGGTGTGGGTACCCGCACCACTAGTGAACGGGGTGGTTTCGGGGCGGATAACGGGGTGGATTAGTATAGAACCATAACCGCACCATTAACCATTTAAAAAATTCGGGTATTCCCCGCCCCGTACCCATTCCCCAGTCAAACCGGTTTTCCCCAGTTTGACCAAATCGGTTCGGTGCGGATATCCAACGGGTCGGTCGAAATTGCCATCTCTAATGTGGGCTATTATTTAATTCTATTTAGGAAATTAACTTTTTAATTAACAAAGCATGGTCAATTCAAAAGTGAGATGAACTTAGGTAACACAATGAGTCAATGACATTCAGTATGAATTGCATGCAACGGTGGAAAGGAATATGTATTGATCAATGATGAAGAGGCTTCCACAAACTGAGAGCAAAGATGACTCTTCCAACTTTGCAACATCCATTCTCCATTTTGATCTACGCTGAAATCTTTGTGGTACCCCATTTTAACCTTTGCCTTCATTTCCTTCATGATCTCTTGATTCAATCCAAGCATTTTAAATCCTGCCCTCTGATTTCTCACCTGCCATTGCCTGTAAGTCTCCGGTCTCTCCACTCTTCCTTTCCCTTCACATGCTATCACGTTTAGAACTTCCCTTCCCATTACTTCTTGCTCAACCATCATCCGTCCTTCGTCTTCATGTGGCATCGTTGCGTGGAACATGTCGAACATTGCCGAGAAGTGAAAATAAGATTCCCAAAATCTTGTCGTGAAGAATGGGGCATTGTACATCGCATTCACAACTCCATGAACAAAAAATTTCGGGTTCAATTTCTTGATTAACTTGAGAACGTAATCTCTAGGGCTGGTGTCCTCCCCTGCCTCCTATGTGTTACACTAAAAATAAGTCATTCTACTTTGGAATGTGCATATGTATATGTAATGACATGTTTTTTTCTAAAACCGTACCAAATTAAAGTTCATATACAAACATATTATTACATGATCAATCCGATCACTTTAAGAATATATCCAAGATGAGTGTAGTGCAATATAAAACATTACTTTCAGCATTATAATGGTTAGGAATGTATACTAGGGGTGAGTAACAAAAGAAGAAAGCGAAAGCGAAAATGAAAATCCAAAAAATTGAAGAATTGCAATTTTTTGTAAGCCATTCTTGGTTTTTTATGGGGGGCGGGTTGACTTTGCATCTCATTGTTTGGGCTATATTGAACTTTACATCCCATTTTTTGAAAATTTAATCTATAAGTTCACACAAATATACTCGGTGTGTTAATCAAAATGATTGAAAAAGTTTCCCTTAGGGACATAGGTACTATATATATTCATATAAAGAGTTCAAAAATTAAGAGTACTGAGTACATACACTTACCGTCTCATCAGAAACATTCTTTAGTCTGTACAAGCAATTCACCACAAGAGTTTCGTCTGGATCAATCTTGAGATCCTTTGGAGTGATGGTCTCCCATTTGTTGGCGGCAATGGCATTATACTCAAAGGGGACATTGAATCTCCTTGCAAACTTCTCGAGTCGATGTCCTGTTTCCTCGACCCTCTCGGCAGGCCAGAAGCCCGGGTGAGGGAAATCAATTCTGGTGATCCGAAGCTGCGGATGTCCTCCAGGCCGGAGGGAAATACCGTGAATTATGCATGGCCATTGGAACCCATATAGAATGCCAAAAGCAATGATATGAATCTTGGATGCTTCACTAGTTTGTTTGGCGATCGACTTGTTCGCAAAAATGTTGGACATTCTCTTGAATGGGCATGCAGTTATGCAGACCTGATAAGCATTCAGGTAGTCTACAGCTGACATTTTCTTGCTAGTTGTGTACAAGGATATTCCAGAGGCAGTAGAGCGGGCCTCAAGAGCATTTGCAAAGCAGTGCGCAACTCTTTCAGTAGCATCACCATATGGGGAAGAATGTTGCCTAATTAAATATTTTACACTGTAGTGATCATAACATTATATGCGTAGTAACTTTAAACATATTTTTATTTATTACTCGAGTAAGTTTTATTTCAGTAATAGTTTACCAACAGCATGAGTACACAAACAGAAAGTTTCATATATAAGATCTTGGTTACTCCACAATTAGGTTAATATAGGATTGAACTAAACGTTTTAATCTTATGTTGGATGAGAATAAGTTTAAAGAAGCAACTTGATCAGGGGATTAAAAAAGAGTATAAGAAATGGAAGTTAGTTACTTCAGGTCTAATCTAAAAGACATTGACAACACATATAAAAATGTACTACGTACTTCGTATTTTCTTATACCAAAACCTGAAACGAGTACACTCCTTACTCAGCTTTCAAAATTAAGCCATCTCACACATACAGTTACTTTATATGTCACTCCCCTATATATATTAGGTTAGGACTTTAGATTGGGACATGTATTGTAAGTTTGTAACTACTATATCTATCTAATGATAACAATCCACTTATGAATTCTATAGTTAAACTACCTGATGGTTGTTAGCCATTGTTGGAACTTCTTCTTGTCTCCTGTAGCCTCAGCTTGGGCACACTGAGCTAGAAGACTGGCGAGGTCGATGATCTCCTTACCTTTGGCTTCTTTCTTGCTCCCTTTCGGCCTTCCACGCTTACTGCCCTCTGTTGGGTGTGTATTTCAGCTCAGGTCTCCAACCAGAACAACTCACACACACCACCCCAGGATTGTTTAGCCACTCCACCACTCACCAAGTTTAGCCACACTCTTTTTCACCTCTCAAGCTCACACAAAGGAGGACAAGGGAAGAAGAAGGACTATACTCTAACTCTCTGGTTACTCTCACAAAGGAGGAGATACACTCTCAATAGCTACTGCCCACTAGCTTCACGCCTCACTCACACAAAGGAGGAAGTCAACTCTCTCATACTCACTGGCCACAATTATATGGAGCTCAAAAAAGATGCTTTCCTAATCAAGTGAGTCACATGTCTAAGAAAGACAAAACAAGGGGAGCCCAAACAAAGGCAGAAGATAGAATAGCATCGGGCAGAACAATAACAAGACCATGTGATTAGGTAGTGAACAAACCAAGAGGAAATAATAGGAGTACGGCTAAACTTAGGGTGCAGGCCTTAACACGAATAAGTGGAAGGGAGGCCTTGGCAGGACCAATACCTCCAACATTCTCCACCTTATTGGTCCTAGGTGGTGTAGAGTAACAAATACACGGTTGTGAGGAGACTCATCATCGCTGAACCATTACAAGTACATCATTGCGATCATACAAGTAATAGATGAGAACCAAAGTTCCCTTTCGGACCAAGCTTATCGTGCAAACCCACTTCACGATGGACTGAACTCTACCAATCGGTCCTCGAGTTCAGAACCAAAACCATCACAAAACTATTAACAAGCACAACACATGTTAATAGACCACGCAAGCAAGCATCCGGGAGAAGTTGGGGATTCCAACTAATCCAACAACCACACAAAGCAAATACAAAGAAAATAAAAGAAACAATATTATTTCTATAACTAGCACAGGCGGAGCTCACATAATCACATGGTATCACATTTTCAAAACACAAAGAAAATAGCATACCAACTATCACAAAGATTTTAATTAAAAGAGAATTAAGCACATTTAAAGCAAACTCAGAGGAAATATAGTCAAACATATTGCACATATAATTTCTCACATGTTTCCTAATGTCTCTATCTCTAATAACATGGCAATCACGCAACTCAAGCATATTGCACACAACATTCATATCATGCTCCACCTTAATAGAAATATTATTTTCTTTATTTTCACCATGAAAAACATTTTCATTCACAAATTTGGGTTTGGTTTCAACAAGTAAATCGGAATGAACATCAGGCAAATGCTCCACCTCATTTGGAGCAACATCAGGAGAAACAAGCAGGCAAGGAAATTCATTTTCAACAAAAATGACATTTCTACTCATCAACACATTAAAGCAAGTTTCACTCCTACACCAAAGCCTATAACCTTTCATGCAATCATGATATCCTAAGAAAACATATTCCGTAGTCCTAGGTTCAGATTTATCATTCACACGATTCACATAAGCAACACAACCAAACACTCTCAAATTTGGCAAGTTAAGTGGTTTGCCCATGAACACAGATTCAGGGCATTTCCCTCCTAAGGGAACAGACGGGGACAGATTAATCAAATCAACAGCATAACAAATAGCTTCCCCCCCAGAACTTATTAGAGAGCCCAGATGAAGCTAACATAGCCCTCACCCTCTCTAATAAAGTTCTAACCATCCTCTCAGCAACCCCATCCGGTTGGGGTGTGGAGGGAACAGATTTATGCATAGAAATACCCCAAGTATCACATAAATCACCAAGCTGACTATCACAGAAATCAAAACTGACTGTGGTCCTTAAAAAATTAATTTTCTTACCGGTTTGTTTTTCAACAAGGATTTTCCAGTTTTTAAACTTATCAAAAACTTCAGATTTATTCTCAATCAACAAAACCCACACTTTCTTTGAAAAATCATCAATCAACGTCAGAAAATAATTTTTCCCACCATGAGTGGAAACACTATAAGGACCCCACAAGTCAGCATGAATACAATCAAGCACATCAGTACATTTAGGCAGATCAGGAAAACCAACTCTAGACTGTTTTCCTAGCACACAGGGTTGCACAAAATTCACAGAATCAAGTAGGGGTTCAGCATGACAAACATACAAGTTGTTTTTCATCATAGCTTTGAAAACAACTAAGCAACCCTTCACAACTTTCATGATTCCCTTTCCCCATTTTCCCTTCAAACCCTCATTTTCAAGAGAAGCACAAGATAGCAAATTACAACACAGCTCAGGAACATGCCTAACATTCTTCAAAGTAAGCACATAACCAGAAGAAAACCTAAGGCATACATCTCCTATTCCTAGCATATTGCATTTCTTCTCATTTGCTAAAGACACAAAGCCATGCTCAATCTCTCTATAGTTTGAAAACACATTTTTCAAAGGGGACATGAAAAGTACAACCAGAATCTACCACCCAATCTGATTTACCCAAAGAATCAGATATCACAGAACTCAAATAGTCATAATCACATAGATTTTTCATCATAAAAACATCACCTAAATCATCTTCACACGTAGTCAAATTAGCATGCTCACTATGCTCATTTTTCCTAGATTTAGGACAGTCTCTTATGAAATGACCAGGTTCATGACAATAATAGCAACGCTTCGAATTAGACCTAGACTTAGATCTATGTCGTCTACTATTATTTTCTCTACCCCTCACATGCATAACCTCCTCGGATTTTCTACCCTCACCCATCTGTTTTAAATCTAATTCCTTACTCTTAAGACCATTTACCACAATGTCAAGAGTCACATTATCTCTACCATACTTAATAGCAGATTTCACATCACTAAAGGAATCAGGAATAGCATTTAAAAGAGCAATGGGGGAATAATCATCTATATGTTTATCACCACACAACTTAATATCCGAAATAAGTTTGGTAAAAACATCTAGATTTTCTTCAATATCTATAGACATATCTAGTCTAAATTTGAAGAACTTCTCAAGTAAAAATATCTGGTTAGGCAAAGAGGTCTCAGTATACAGTTCATTCAATTTATCCCACAGAATTTTAGCACTCTCTAAAATTCCAACTTTTCTAATCACAGAGTCAGATAAGTTCAAATAAATCACAGAACATGCATTTTCATTCATTTCAGCCCTTTTATCTTCCGTGTCAGAAATTAAATAGGTTTCGCCAACTGCTTTAAAACATTTTTGTTGTATTAAAATACATTTAATTTTTTGCTTCCAAATGCTAAAATCAGATTTTCCATTAAATGGAGCCATACCATACTGATTATAAGCAGACATTTTCACATAGAAAAACAAGCAACAAAATAAAATGTAAATTTTGCTACAACTTAAATATTGCTGAAAACAATTTAAATATTTATAAGGCTACAACTATACGAAGCAACTAGCACGAACACGCGGGGAGTATTAATGAGCACCAAACTCAACTTCAAACCCCTTGTTCTTCCGTATAAGCACAAATAAATAATAAATTTTCAGCACAAAGCAACACAACAGTTTAATTAATTTTAACAGCAGTAATAAACCTAAAACAGATTTCTACACAATAAAAGATTAAATCACTACAAAAGCGATAAAAGGGATAAAAGTCAATATACCGGAGCGAAACCCTAGGAGAGGCGTTTCGACCTTACCCACCCAATTTTTTTTAAAAAAAATTGGGATTTTTATTTGACTGTTGACTGACTTTGACCAGCGTTGACCGAGCTTTGACCGGTTGACCAGCAGCTCCAGCAACTCCAGCAGTCCACTCCAGCCGTCCAAGTTCACTCCAGCCCAGCAACAAAGCAGAAAAACCAAGCTCCAATCCAGCTGTAGTCCAGAAGCCCAATTGTTGAAGCCCAGTCAAACTTCTCCAGCCAGTCCAACAGAGTCCAGCGTCTCAGCTTACCTGCAGATCATCAACGCGAGATCTGCGATAAAGAAGATACCTGCGATGGCCAGCCCTCTGCTCCAGCGGCTTGCCGATCAGCGAGGAACGACCATCGGCGGGAGCCCAGGAGACCGGCGGCGAGCTCTGGTGGTGACGGACGGCGAGCTATCTCCGGGCGGCGAGCTTCGTTCCCTGCGGCGGCGAGATTCCTGCGTTCAGGCGGACCGCTCCAAACTCACAAAAGGCATCGATCTGAAATCCAGCCTCAGTCTAGCAACGAGCAATAACCCAGCGTCGAGCGGAAAAACCATCGGAGGGTCCCTGCGACTTCGACGGTGGACCTCCCAGGCGGTGATGGGGGGTATTCAAACTCCCGGCGAGTTTTGGCAGCATCCAGCGGCGAGTTCCGGCGAGCTTCCCTGCGACGAGCGACGGTTCCAAGGTGAAAGAAGGCTCCAGCGGCGTCCTCGACCAACGAGCCCCGGATTTGACGATCCACAGAGGATTCCGGGCTAAAGCTCCAGCAAAGGCTTCTCAGCCTCAAGCGATAAACTTCCGGCAACGGGCGTCCTCGCAGACCTCAAATCATCTGCGAACGGCAACGAACAACGGCGGGCGGCGGCGGATAGCGGCGGGCGACGGCGGACGGCGGCGGGCGGCGGCGGACGGCAACCAGGCTCTGATACCACTGTTGGGTGTGTATTTCAGCTCAGGTCTCCAACCAGAACAACTCACACACACCACCCCAGGATTGTTTAGCCACTCCACCACTCACCAAGTTTAGCCACACTCTTTTTCACCTCTCAAGCTCACACAAAGGAGGACAAGGGAAGAAGAAGGACTATACTCTAACTCTCTGGTTACTCTCACAAAGGAGGAGATACACTCTCAATAGCTACTGCCCACTAGCTTCACGCCTCACTCACACAAAGGAGGAAGTCAACTCTCTCATACTCACTGGCCACAATTATATGGAGCTCAAAAAAGATGCTTTCCTAATCAAGTGAGTCACATGTCTAAGAAAGACAAAACAAGGGGAGCCCAAACAAAGGCAGAAGATAGAATAGCATCGGGCAGAACAATAACAAGACCATGTGATTAGGTAGTGAACAAACCAAGAGGAAATAATAGGAGTACGGCTAAACTTAGGGTGCAGGCCTTAACACGAATAAGTGGAAGGGAGGCCTTGGCAGGACCAATACCTCCAACATTCTCCACCTTATTGGTCCTAGGTGGTGTAGAGTAACAAATACACGGTTGTGAGGAGACTCATCATCGCTGAACCATTACAAGTACATCATTGCGATCATACAAGTAATAGATGAGAACCAAAGTTCCCTTTCGGACCAAGCTTATCGTGCAAACCCACTTCACGATGGACTGAACTCTACCAATCGGTCCTCGAGTTCAGAACCAAAACCATCACAAAACTATTAACAAGCACAACACATGTTAATAGACCACGCAAGCAAGCATCCGGGAGAAGTTGGGGATTCCAACTAATCCAACAACCACACAAAGCAAGTACAAAGAAAATAAAAGAAACAATATTATTTCTATAACTAGCACAGGCGGAGCTCACATAATCACATGGTATCACATTTTCAAAACACAAAGAAAATAGCATACCAACTATCACAAAGATTTTAATTAAAAGAGAATTAAGCACATTTAAAGCAAACTCAGAGGAAATATAGTCAAACATATTGCACATATAATTTCTCACATGTTTCCTAATGTCTCTATCTCTAATAACATGGCAATCACGCAACTCAAGCATATTGCACACAACATTCATATCATGCTCCACCTTAATAGAAATATTATTTTCTTTATTTTCACCATGAAAAACATTTTCATTCACAAATTTGGGTTTGGTTTCAACAAGTAAATCGGAATGAACATCAGGCAAATGCTCCACCTCATTTGGAGCAACATCAGGAGAAACAAGCAGGCAAGGAAATTCATTTTCAACAAAAATGACATTTCTACTCATCAACACATTAAAGCAAGTTTCACTCCTACACCAAAGCCTATAACCTTTCATGCAATCATGATATCCTAAGAAAACATATTCCGTAGTCCTAGGTTCAGATTTATCATTCACACGATTCACATAAGCAACACAACCAAACACTCTCAAATTTGGCAAGTTAAGTGGTTTGCCCATGAACACAGATTCAGGGCATTTCCCTCTTAAGGGAACAGACGGGGACAGATTAATCAAATCAACAGCATAACAAATAGCTTCCCCCCAGAACTTATTAGAGAGCCCAGATGAAGCTAACACCCTCCATGTACTTCTTGTCTCTTCCTTCATTTCTTGAAGTTTCCTCAGAAACCCATGAAGCTGATGAGCTGTCATAGAAGGCAGGATTCATGGAAGGACAAAGCAGCGCTCTGTCATAATTCTGGTCTAATTCCTCTGTCTCTTGATCAAACCCATTGGCAAGAAATTGCTTGCTTTTGCGCTCTTCTTCACAGTTCACACCATTGATCAACATCTCGGCTGTGTTTTGTCTTTCTCTCATTCTTTTCTCTGTTATCGTCTTCCCCGTCTGTTCTTCCTCTCAATGGAACTGGATGGCTGAAGGTAAGAGCATCATAGAATGATTTCTCAGCTGCCTGGAGAGACATGGAGTCTTGGAACATGCAGGGTCTGTATTCCAAGTCGTCTTCCTCCATAAGCATCTGCTGTATGTACTTGAAGACCCCGTCGAAGTAGTCTCCTTCCACTGTCGAAGAAGCCAGATCTTCATCCCTTGAGCTATCTCGAGCCAGAAAGAGGGTGTCCATAACATAACTTTTTAACTCTTGGGAATATAATATATTGGAAAGTGGAAGAAAGGATTGATGATAATAATGATATCTAAAATGGTTTTTCTTGGTGTACACATTTTCTATACACAGACAACTCTCAAAGTTTTTATGCTCCCTCCGTCCTGTTAGAAGGTTCTCACTTTACTCTTTTGGACGTCCCATTAGAAGGTTCTCATTTCCATTTTAGGAAACAATTAACAATCTTAAGTGACAAATTAGTCATTAAATATTAAAAATAATACATTTATAACATCACAGTTATCAATACTAACACATTATAATATATACCTATAAAATTATTTCTCAAATTATACCCGAAGTTCTTTATTTAATTATCACCTAAATAACCGTGTCGTTTTGCTATGGGAACCTTCTAGCGGGACGGAGATAGTATTTTTTAGATGAAATGGCTATCTATGGAGGCAAAATAGGGTCAAAATAGGGAATGTACAAAACAATGTACACAAAACGTGTACAAACAAATTTTCATACATAAATAAGTAATGAGAATTTCTAGAGACAGAGAGATAACTAGGAAATTAAGTTATGAGGAAAGATACAAATGGAGCCATGCATGCATGTTCATAGATTACAGACTAGTCATGAATGGCACCGACTGGTGTTGGCCATAAAACAGATGCAATATTAGAATACGGAGTAAATGTTAAGTGCATGTATTGCTGCAGATAAGGGATGGGTGGAATAATAATAAATTATAAAACCAAAAATATCCATTTTTATTATGCAGTGATCCTGAGAAGTAAAAATAGAATAACTAGTATAGACTTTTTACAACTCTTCAGATATAAAAAGCTGTTTATTAAAAAGTAATTGACCTAGAAGTAAAATATACTATCTATCACCTTTCCCTAAATAGCAGTCCACCTTTAATCTTCCCTAAGTAGAAGTAAACATGTTGGGGGCCCTCAGGGATGGGGTGTCATCCTTTTTTTTTAAGTAGAAGTAAACATTAATTTTTACCCCTAATTTAATTAATTAATATAATTAATTGCCCTCTGGTTCTCTTGTGTAACCGGGTCGGTCCGTTGGTAAGCGGATTTGTCCTTTGATGGAGGGCAGTCCGGTGATGGCGGCGACGGACAGCAGCAGTGAAGCTCCAGCAGCATGCAAACTGGCAATGGATAAAATCTGGCATGTTGGCGGCCGGCGGCACCCGACAAATCAATGGCGAACACGCGACAAATCTGGGTAGTTAGTTGAACTATCCAGGCATACATCTAACAGAATCCAATATAAGCCTAAAGGGCTAATCCATGGCGAACACGGAACACCCATTCATCATTCCACCAATATATCGAACACGATTGTCACACACTCACCCCACCTCTATCTTTACTCTATTTCCTACTCAGTTATAGATCGTAAACAACGACTAAAACAAAGATATCCCAGCAAGTTATGTATCAACTCATATGAGAGCCCATGTGAGATTTTCTAGCGAATAGAAATTGAACCTATGAGAGGAGGACTTGGGATGCAGCTCCAATATGTTGCTAAGGCATTGGTTTTTTTACTTTTTTCTCCATGTCGCAATGTCCCTTTCCTTCCCCAAAATAACTTTCTAATAACTATAAATAAGTGATTCATAAGAAGTACTCCCTCCGTCCCGGAAAATTGTTCTCGCATTGACTTGAAACGGAGTTTAAGAAAGTGAGAATAAAGTGGAAATGTATGGTTGTGGTTGAGTAAGAAAAAGGTAAATGAATTGTAGCCACAAAAAACTTTCCAAAAGGGGAAAGGGGAACAATTTTTTGGGACGGTCCAAAAAGGAAACAGAGAACAATTTTCAGGGACGGAGGGAGTAATAAGTAAGAGAACACTTGTGAAAGTACAGATAAAATACGGAAATAGACCAAGAAATGACTGTTTTTTCACCCAGTTGTGAAGTAAAAAAGATGCCATACATACTTATCCCATCACTGCAACTTCATAAAAATCAAACATGGGAAAAATGCAGTCTTCTTGTAATAAAACAAACTCTAGAATTGAGAATTAAGATTATGGAGTGAAGACTGTATAATTGCTCAAACAAAGAGTTAGAGACTAACAACAGATCAATAATGACTTAAGTGCTTACATATACAGATCGATCAGGCCATCCCTGCCGGTTCAAGGTCAAAAAGCAACGGAAGGCTGATCAATATTAACACCTAGCTTTGCTTGTTTATGTGGAAGAGCTAACTAGGTACCCAGCATGAACTTGCACATAGAATCCGCCCCTTCCACCCCTGCAACATCCAATGACCATCTTCCTCCAACATAAAGTTTTCGTGGTACCCTGCTTTCAACTTTTTTCCGATTTTGATCATTATCCCTGGCATCACTGGAAGAAGTTTGAACCCAGCCCTCATAGTCCTCACTTGCCACTTCTTGTAAGTTTCAGGCCTTACGATCCTCTCTTCCCCCTCACATGCAATCACATTCAGTGACTCGCGCCCATAGATTTCTTGCTCAAAGAGAAACCTCTCCTCATCGTCACGGGGTAATGTATTCTCAAACATATCAAAAACTGCAGAGTAATAGAAGAGAGCTTCTCGGAACCGGGTGACAAAGAACGGAGCACTATAAGACCCACTAACAACACTGTGCACAAAAACACTTGGGTTCAGTTCACGGATTAGCTTGAGTACTGCATCACGAGGACTGTCACCCATTACTGTTACATCAAGCAGGTTTTGTAACCTATATGAGCACTTCACAGCAACCATTTCACCTCTAACGAGCTTCAAGTCTTCAACTTTAAGTGTCTCCCAATTCTGAGTTGCTATTGCATTGTACTCAAATGGCACGTGGAATCGCTCACAATATATTCCCAGACGGCGGCCAGTCTCTTCTATCAGTTCCGCTGGCCGAGAACCTGGTTCAGGAAGCTCGATTCCAGTAATGCGAAGTTTAGGAGGCCCGCCGGGCCGGATTGCTAGATGTTGGATAAGAGAAGGCCATTGGAAACCAAACTCAATGCCAAAATCTATGACATGTAGAACTTGAGCTTCCAATGACATCATGAAAATCATTTTATTTCCAAAGCCTATTGACATCTCCTCAAAAGGGCATGCTGACATGTAAACCTTGTATGCACTCAGCTTCTCAAAAGCTGTGATCTTTTTGGGGACTTGGGATGTATAGAGCTGGGTCCCCAAGCCAGACAAACGTGCCTCAAGACCATTTGCCATTACATATGCCAGCCTTTGGTTCACATCACCTTTAACTGAACAGTGCTTTCGGATCTGTGTCAGTTGTTCATTTGCAGACTTGCGATCATCAGCAGCAACTGATTGTGAACAGTTGGTTAGAAGAGTTATAAGGTCTACAACTTCACTTGTATTTCCCTGCTTCTTCTTCTTTGTGCGCCTTTTACCACCATTGTGTGGTATACCCTCATCATTCAGCACATCATATGGCAGGCCGTGACCAAATTCAGCCACATTCCTGCGACATTCGTCAGGATCAAGCAGCAAAACTTTATCAAACATCTTTGTTAACTCCTCTTCCACATAAACTGCAGATTGCTTGTTGCTTCTCTCTTTCTCAAGCTCGTCTTCCTCAAGAGGCAATGAGTCTTTAACCAAATCTATAACCAATTGATTAGTAGCTGGGAGGATTGTACTCGCTTCCTCCACTCCTCTCTTGAACTGCAGCTTGGCTTCTGTGTCACTAAATATATTTCCAAGCTCACCATAATTTAACATAGAGTGCACTTGGATTTTCGTACTACTCTCATAATTATTTGAAGAAGCATTTGAACTCTCAGAGGAGGTAATCGGAAAAGAGGAATGGAAAGGAAGTTCAGGAGGAGGAATCATAAACGATGATTGTATAGGATCACCAGTCCACGGAGGTGGTTCACTTGAGTTGTCATACATGCTGTCCGAGCTTTGTGTACTTTTATGGCTAATGTGGGATTCATGAGAAGGAGGATTTTTATCAAGGGCTTCGTAGAAGTACTTCTCAGTAGCTTCAAGAGCAATTGGGTCATGGAACATACTGGGCTTCTCACTGATGTTCTCTTCCAACAGTATCTGGTTGAGGAACTTGAAAACAGGATTAGTGTGATGATCTTCTTGTGAGTCCAACTCTACAGGTGGAGAAAAGTATGAATGGTTGCAACTGGATGTACTCAATGGGTCACCCGTGAATTCCAGAGCAGCTAATGGGTCATCTGAGTACTTGCAAGGAATATCTTGAGATTGCTGAAGGCTACTGGAAAAAGGGAACTCATCTTGCTGCTGGATTGTATTTTTAGAGTCAGGCAACTTGGTAAATTGAGGATCCATAAGTAAACATATATGTGAAAAGAACCTGCAACATCCATAGTCAGAACTCGCATGAGCCTTAACATTTTGAAATGTGAAATTGGATCTCGAGATAATCAGCCTTAGTCCTATGAGGCGTAACAAGACATATACCTCGAATTTTCTATTGTATATTAATTACAATAATTTCAAAAATAAGTTAATAAATAGATAATCCATGCTTGAAGTTCAATGACAACAAATCTTGAAGCACAAAGATATCGCACATTCTATGGTTAAAGAAAGATAAAACGATGAACCAGTAGATTGACATGAAAGAAGAATAAATAATGAATTTGTTGGAGATGATATCTGTTTTTCAATTAATTGGCTTACTAAGAAAGCATCACTTAACCCCTTCTGATAATTTAATACAGACATGAAGTTATAGGAAATTTAAAGTTAGCACCCGAAGAAGGTTTTCAAATCGAGATTCAAATCCTACTTAGGCAGATGAACATTTTGGAGGGATAATACAACAATACACATTGTTGAATTAAGACTCGATATTATAGATTGAAGATTGTATTTTTTCTCAAACAGAGAGTGAGAGATTAACATCTATTGGTGAATACAGTTCTAACAGGCATTGATCAAACTCTACTTGTAATTGATCAAACATCTATTGGTGAATACAGTTCTAACCACTACATGTAACAGGCATCTCGTCAAAGGTGAGATGGTTGCTGTGGACCTCATATTTAACATCGTGGAGTAGTGGAAGAGAGCCTCTCCGAACCGAGTAGCAAAGAATGGATAATTATAAGATCCAGTTGAAACAAACTAACAGAGTGAACAAAAATATTTGCGATCAGTTTGCAGATTAGCTAGGTATAGAACTGCATCACGGGGAATGTCCGAATGTCCACCAATCTGGTGTTATCCAGCACCATTTTAACCTATGAGAAGAAGTCCACAGCAACCATCTCACCTTTGACGAGCATTAAATCTTCAATTTTAATCATCTCCTAATTCCGAACCAAAGCGCTCACGATAATTACTTTGCCAGGCGGTGCCCAGGGTCTTCGGTCAAATCTGCTAGACGAAAACCTGGTTGAGGAAGATTGCTTCCACCAACGTGCAGTTTAGGAGGCCCACACCAGCCCTCATTGAAAGATGCTGGATAAGGACGGGACATGCGAAACCATACTCAATACCAAAATCTAAGAACTGTAGCGTTTTAGCTTCCACTGATACCAAATATATATAATTTTGTTTGAAAGGCTATGGTTAATTTTATATCTTCTTAAACGGGCATGCTGACATGTAAACTAGCATGCTTTCAACTTCTCAAGAGTTATAATCTGGTTAGGGGTTTGGAATGTATACACTTGGGACCCCGTGCCAACCAAATGCGCCTCAAGATCGACCATTTCCAATACATATATGCCAGCCTCCGATTTGCATCACCGTTGAGAAAACGGTGCTTTCGGATCTGTTTCAATTGTTTAATTTCATACTTGCGATCATCAGTACCAACTGATTGTGCACAACCAAATAGAAGAGCCCCTAGGTCTACAGCTTTATTACTAGTAGTATCTCCCTGCTGCTGCTTCTTTTCGCCTTATTCCCTTTCCCACTACTACTTCAGGTAAAAGTTAAATTGTACGAAGATCTAAAGATGAATGATTATTCAAAATGTAGCGATAAATATCTTCACTTTAAGAATCACTAGACCAAAACACGGGATTAACAAACAGAAAGACGGATCACTGAATACTTCGAAAGTTAACATTCTTTTCTATGTCTTCACCATAAACATTAGCTGAAGGCACACATAAAACAATTACGGGTACTGGAAATAAACATCTTTAGGATGCGTGTCGGTACAAATAAACAATTACGGGTACTGGAATTATTTATAGCTTAAGCCCTTGTCTTTAATGGAAATGAGTGTTCAAATTGACGGAGAAAAGGGAGAAGTGCTGGATTATATTGGAATTTTAATGGATTAAGAGAGTTTTAGGCAGTCGAAGACTAGAGAAAAGATGAAAAGAAACGCACAGAAACAGCTCAAGAGATAATTCAGACGCGCACCTGGGCTGGGATCCTAGAGAATAATTTGAGCAGACTGACACAGCATAAGCAAGGCCTTCTGTCTGGGAGAGGAAATGGAGTCCAAAATGCTAAATTTATAGGGAACGGAAAATGGCTGCAGGAAGCGGGAAAACCGGAATTAACAGCAGAGAAAGAAGGCCGGGAAACAACAAAGCAGATGGCGGGCCCAGGGAAAGACATTGGCGCAGGAAAAAACTCAAAAAGAGGTAAATCGGTGACGTCAGCGCGGGTAATCCCTCACTTTCAACGGCCCCAATGTACGGAGTACCTCAGTACCTAATACGCACTAATTGAGAGATAATTTGAAAAGAAATAGGCCTATTTATTTCAGGAAACATACGTCAAGTCAAAAAAAGAAAACATAGCTTATATTGCCTTATTGGGTAAGCCAGGCATCCACCTCATACTCCTTCCCTTCCTAAATTAAGTTCTCACTCTTGTTTTTCCTGAAATTTCTCACTATATTGACGAAGGGAATACGTTTGTGTTGGGACATTGGGCCTCTGGAAAAATCGACCGGCTCAATATCACCAAGCCACCTCTTGCCTTGCCTCCCAAACACACAAGGACCGGGGGGCTGGGCACCCATCTCAGGCCGAACAAGATCCGGTAAAGGGTAAAGTCAGAAAGCAGTACACTGGGGAATCTGGAAAGGAGGCGAGCCACCTTAACCAAGCCATGTGGCATTGACGGAAGGGTGAGCCTAACGGTGCTTACGTTCGATACCCAAGCCGATGCTTGGCCTAAGCACAAAACAGGCAGCACCCGCGTGCACTTTGTTAAAATGTCCCACACCGGAAAATTGAGAAGCACTAGAGTGCTATATTAAGCTCCGGGCTACTCCTCCTAACAGGTTGACCTTTTAGGATGGAACCCCGGAACTTAACATGGTATCAGAGCCAAATCGATCCATGGTGTGGAGCCCCTTATGAAAAATGATGACACGATAAAAAAATTAACGAACCGATGAAAAATGAATGACGACACGATCCAGACGAAGTGTCTGGTCGTGAGGAGGGGTGTTAAAATGTCCCACACCGGAAAATTGAGAAGCACTAGAGTGCTATATTAAGCTCCGGGCTACTCCTCCTAACAGGTTGACCTTTTAGGATGGAACCCCGGATCTTAACACACTTGCATAGGCTGAACTCCAATGGAAAATGTGGACTTGATAAGCGTTCATATAGTCTACGGTGGACATTTTCTTGCTAAATCTCCAAAGAGTAGTACAAAAAAATCACCAAATTTACGGCCCACAGACAAAATAACTTGTGCTATGCAGTGACAGTGGCGGTGATCGTGAGTCATTGGCGGTTTACCCAATGGAGTCATTGGCAGCTATATATCTAGTCACTTTTTTTAATTTAAAAAACAAATGTCACATATTGTCTTAGCATTTAGTTCAGTCAAACCAAAAACTCAAAACAGAAACTCCTTTCAGAATTAAGCCATCTCCATCTCACTCTCAACGAAACTGGATGGCTGAAGGTAAAAGCATCATAGAATGATTTCTCAGCTGATTGAAGAGCCCCCAAAGTCTTAGAACATGCATGGTCTGTATTCCAAACCGTCTTCCTCCACAATTAAGTATCTGTTCATCTGTTGTATGTGCTTGAAGACCCCTTCAAAGTAGTCTCCTTCCACTGGAGTAGATGAAAAATTGAAGAAGTTGGCCATTCATCCCTTGGCCATTCCATACTTTGTCGGTGTTGGTTAGGAGGTCTTATCCCTCTAGGTATTAGTCCTATATCTCTCCATGTACGTACATGATGTAAATTATTCAATACACTATTTTCCAATATACTTCTTCATGGTATCAAGAGTCTTCCTCTAACGAGATATCAAATTTTTTTCGATCCATCCATGGCTGCCATCACACCTACCATGGCGAAGCATGCCTGGGATAACTTTCCCTCACCTGTGCTAGCACCTCATGAGGCAGAATTATTACTCTCAAGACCTCCCTCTCTCAGACCACAAAAGGAGGCCGCTCCATCACCAAATACATCGCTGAGATGTATGCCATATCTGAGGCATTGGCCCTCGTTTAAAATCCCATTTCGGGGGAAGATTTGGTCATCAATATTGTAAATGGCCTTGGATGTGAGTATAGCGAACTCACGTCCGCTATTCGTGTTCGATCCTCGACACTCCCTCTTGTGGAAGTTCAGGATATTATTCTAGAGAACGAACAAAAACTTCATGAGGCTGATGCATCAACACAAGCCCTTGTCCCTACCGCCAATGTCGCTCATGCCAGAGCATGTTCCTTTAACTCCCCTCCAGTTGATGATCGCCGCACTATGCACTCCACAGATCGCCGAGGTCAAGCCACTCGTCGTGGTCGTGGGGGCAATTGTCATGGGCAGTCTCGGTCAATTTATACCACCGGTGTTGTGTGTCGATCTAGCAATCTCTCTGGCCATGAGGTAAAACAATGTCGTACATTGAAAAGGTTTTTATGTGATCACTAGGTTCCTTTCCCAGCTGGATCCATGCCTCTAGTGATTCATATTACGATTCAGTGTCCATGACTTAATTTCCTGTTTAATTTTTGGGAATATATTAGAAAGTAGAATGACAAGAAGATAAGATTGATGATAATAATAAAATCTAAAAACAATGAAAATTTCTAGAGACAGAGATAACTAGGAAATCAAATTATGCGGAAAGGTACAATGGAGGCATGCATGCATGTTCATAGATTATAGATTTACAGACTAGTGAATTGCATATTAGGTGTTGGCCATATAACAGTTGCAACGTTATAAAAGGAGTGAATGTTAATTGCGTGTATTGCACATAAGGGATGGGTGGACTAATAATAAATTAAAAGTAAAAAATACCCATTTTAATATGGAGTATAAGATAAAAAGAGCCTTACTTTAAATTTTTTTCAATAAAGAAGAGCCACTTGTGGAATTAAGTACATTACCAAGAAAGTCAACAACCTCTAAACACTAAACCCAAACATTTTAAAGATATATTTCAAAGAAAGTTCGGGAGCGGAGGACTGCCCCCGCTATATGGAGTGCACCCATTCTTTAGATGTATGTGTACACACAGACACACAACTTATGTTCTGTTTAGTCTATGAAAATGTAATGAAAATTTACAAATTAATATTTCTTATGTTTAGCTTTCTTCAAATTTACATAATTAAAATAAATAAGAAATAAAAGTTAACTTGAATAAATATTGAAAATAAGTTTATTGTGTTTCAACTAAAGTTTGATATCTCTCTACATTAACTTTCCTTCAGCTTTCTTCCAAATTTTCGTTCTTTGGCATTTGAATTCTATGCTAATCGCTACCATCATATTTCCTATAGAGAACTTATTTGAGTCGTGCATATGTTGCATACCTGCAGTTTTACTTGTTATTCATTTGATCTTAGTATTGTGTTTATGGTTCTCTATTTACTATCCATCTGTGAGTAGGAGATTCAAACATGGATCAAATAGCTCCAATGTGTGCTACTTTAGTTAGCAGTTACGAAATACTGGATCAAATTTAGTTTGATTATATTTTTATTAATTTAATTCTTTATGATTTAGTAACTTATGTAAAAAAACAAATCTATCAATATGGCCATTAGTAGCTAACACATTTCAACTATATCAAACATCAGCTAGTCAGTTATACTACCCAGGCATCAAACAGAATTATTCAAGATAAGCGTGAAGGGCGGGGTGGCTAATCCATGGCGAATAGCCCTTCGCCTTTCAACCAAGAAAGCAAACATGATTGCCACACAACCTCTTATCTTTAATCCATTTCCTACTCATTTACGGTTATAAAACTACAACTTATTATAGGCATAACAATGGCTAGAAACAAAGATATCCCAGCAAGTTAAGTATCAACTCATATGAGAGCCCATGTGAGATTTTCTAGCGAATAGAAATTGAACCTACGAGAGGAGGACAAGTGAAATGCATAAATGGTACATTAACTATCGGTATTGTTGTGTAATGTGCATTGATACCTTAATTCTTAAATGAATCAAATCAGTACCATAACTATACATAACTATTTCAACTTGCAATATTATTCAATTTTCCGATCAAAACAAATTTGGCGGCCGAAATTCTATGCGTAAAATTCACTTCACTTTACTTTTGTCAATGTCATCATTGTAGGGTGACTCTACACGTGGAGTTTTGATCGTCATTTAGGATATTTTTTGCCGCAAATTTGACTAAAATTACAAGTTGAAACATTTATGCATAGTTATGTTACAAATTTGATTCATTTAAGAGTTAAGGTACCAAAACGCAACAATACCAATAGTTAAGGTACCATAAATTTCACCCGAGGAGAACTTAGAAAGCAACTCCAATATGTTGCTAAGATATTGGTTCTTTTACCTTTTTCTCCATGTCGCAATGTCCTTTTCCTTCCCCAAAATAACATTAAAATAACTACAAATAAGTGATTCATAAGAAGTGATAAGGGAGAGAACACTAGTAAAAATACATGTAAATGCGGAAATAGACCAACAAATGACTGTTTTTTCACCCAATTGTGAAGTAAAAAAGATGCCCTACAAATTATTCCATCACTGCAACTTCATAAAAAACAAACATGGGAAAAAGCAGTGTTGCAATAAAAAACACTCTTGAATTGAGACTTGAAATTATGGAGTTAAGACTGTATTGTTTCTCAAACAAAGAGTTAAAGACTAAAAACAAATCATTAATGAATAAAGTTCTTACATATACAGATCAAACTGGGCACCTGGCCCGTTGGCCGTCCCGGACAGTTCAAGGTCGATAGATATACATACCTAAATTATGTCAAACATAGAAGCTTCACACTCAAATGTCAAAAAGCAATGGAAGGCTGATCAATATCAACACCTAGCTTTGCTTGTTTACGTGGAAGAGCTGACTAGGTACCCAGCATGAACTTGCACATAGAATCCGCCACTTCCACCCCTGCAACATCCACTTACCATCTTCCTACAACATAAAGTTTTCGTGGTACCGTGCCTTCAACTGTTTACCGATTTTGATCATTATCCCTGGCAACACTGGAAGAAGTTTGAACCCAGCCCTCATAGTCCTCACTTGCCACTTCTTGTATGTTTCAGGCCTGATAATCCTCTCTTCCCCCTCACATGCAATCACATTCAATGACTCTGTGCCCATAGAATTCTTGCTCAAAGAGAAACCTCTCCTCATCGTCACGGGGTAATGTATTCTCAAACATATCAAAAACTGCAGAGTAATAGAAGAGAGCTTCTCGGAACCGGGTGACAAAGAAGGGAGCACTATAAGACCCACTAATAACACTGTGCACAAAAACACTTGGGTTCAGTTTACGGATTAGCTTGAGCACTGCATCACGGGGACTGTCCCCCATCATTGTTACATCAAGCAGCTCCTCTAACCTATAAGAGCACTTCACAGCAACCATCTCACCTCTAACCAGCTTCAAGTCTTCAACTTTAAGTATCTCCCAATTCCGAGTTGATATTGCATTGTACTCAAATGGCACGTGGAACCGCTCACAATATTTTACCAGACAGCGGTCAGTCTCTTCTAATGGTTCCGCTGGCCAAAAACCTGGTTGAGGAAGCTCGATTCCGGTAACGCGAAATTTAGGAGGCCCGCGGGGCCGGATTGATAGATGTTGGATAAGAGAAGGCCATTGGAAACCATACTCAATACCAAAATCTATGACATGTAGAATTTGAGCTTCCAATGACACCAAGTAAATCATGCTATTTCCCAAGCCTATTGACATCTTCTGAAAGGGGCATGCTGACATGTAAACATGGTATGCTCTCAGCTTCTCAAAAGTCGTGGCCTTTTTAGGGACATGGGGTGTATACAGCTGGGTCCCCGAGCCAGGCAAACGTGCCTCAAGACCATTTGCCAATACATATGCCAGCCTCCGGTTCGCACCACCGTTGAGCGAACAGTGCTTCCGGATCTGTCTCAGTTCTTTATTTGCAGACTTGTGGCTATCAGAAGCAACTGATTGTGCACAGCTGATTAGAAGAGTTATAAGGTCTACAGCTTCACTTGTTTTTCCCTTCTGTTGCTTCTTTGTGTGCCTTTTATCACCATTATGTGGCATATCCTCACCATTCAGCATTTTATGTGGCAAGTCGTTACATAATCTAGCAACATTCATGCCACACTCGTCAGGATCAAGCAGCAAATCATTATCAAACATCTCTGTTAACTCCTCTTCCACATAAACTGCAGATTGCTTGTTGCTTCTCTCTTCCTCAAGCTCGTTGTTATCGGGATGCTGATGCTTCTTTTTTCTAGAAGAAATATTAAGTGAATCATCCATCACATGGTCTTTGGAGGCTACGAGTCTTTAACCAAATCAATACCAGATTGATTAGTAGCAGGGAGGATTTTACTTGCTTCCTCCACGGCTCCACTCCTCTCTTGAACTGTAGCATGGCTTCTGTGTCACAAAATATGTTTCCAAGATCGCCATAATGTAACATAGAGTCCACTTGAATTTTCATACTACTCCCATAACTATTTGAAGAATCATTTGAACTCACAGAGGTAATCGGAAAAGAGGAATGGAAAGGAAGTTCAGGAGGAGGAATATCACAAAAGATGATCCTATATGATCAACAGTCCACTGATGAGGTGGTTCACTTGAGTTGTCATAAATGCTGTCCGAGCTTTGTGTACTTTTATGGCTAATGGTGGGATTCATGAGGAGGGTTTTTATCAAGTACTTCACAGAAGTATTTGTCAGCAGCTTCAAGAGCAATCGGTCATGGGAAATACTGGATTTCTCATTGATGTTCTCCTCCAATAGTATGTGGTTGAGGAACTTGAAAACAGGATCAATGTCATGGTCTTCTTGTGAGTCCAACTCAGGAGGAGGAGCAACATAGGAATGGTTGCGAGTGGGTGACGTCAAAGGGTCACCCGTGAAATCTAGAGTAGCTAAAGAGTCATCTAAGTAGTTGTAAGGAATATCATGAGATTGCTGAAGGCTGCTGGGAAAGAACTCATCTTAGCTTGCTGCTTGAATGTGTTTAAATAAATAAACACATTACACATATGTGAAAAGAACCTGAAGCACCCATAGTCAGAACACGTATGAGCAACATTTTGCAATGTGAAATTTGACCTCAATTTTTTTTGTAGAATTATTAATTAAAATAGTTTCAGAAATAAGTTAATAAATACATAATCCATCCTCGAAATTCAGTTACACGAAATCTTGAAGCAGAAAGAAATCACACACTATATTGTTAAAGAAAGATAAAAATATAAAACAGTAGGTCAACATGTAAGAAAAGGATGAAATTTAGAATTTTTAGGAGAAATTATTTCGTTTTAAATACATCGGCTTATTAATAAAGCATTCGTTTAACCACTTCAGATGATTTATTTGAATTAAAGTGATAGGATATTTAAATTTAGCTCGAAAATAAAGTTTTCAAATCGAGATTCAAATCCTATTTGGGCTAATGAACATTTTGGAGGGACTATACAAAACACATTCTTGAATTAAGAGTCAAGATTATAGACTGAAGGTTGTATTTTTGCTCAAACAGAGAGTGAGAGACTAACATCTATCAGTAAAGACAGTGAATACAGTTCTAAAAAATTGCGGGTACGGGAATAACATTTTTAATGGAAATGAGTGTTCAAATTGACGGAGAAAAGGGAAAAGTGCTGGATTCACCGTCGTAAAAATCGCTCTAGAAGACTGATTGGTCTCCGCCTAGGCGCTATGCACTAGTCGGGCGCTCCGACTTTTCTCTAGGCAGTAGGCACCCTGACTAAATAGTTTGGCACCTAGGTTGAATTAGTTGGTCGCCTAAGGCATACATAGTTACTCGCCCAGAGCACCTAATCGCCGCCTAGGTTGTCTAGATTCGCTAAATAATTTTCGCTTTTGAATTCCCTTTTTCAAAGAGATATGTACCTTTAACTTTCATCACGAATATTAAGAAAGGTATTTGTAAATTAAGATTAAAACTATGTATGTTTGTATATATACTTAAATTTTATTATTATTTACTCCCTTCATCGCACTAACAATGGGACATGAGGGGTGTCACACATACCAAGGGAAAATTGTCAAATAGGTCCTCGAACTTTCATAAAAAGATCAATTAAGTCCTTCTATAGGAGGTTTTGCCCGGCCGTCGCGATTTGGGGCAGTTCCCGGTGGAATTTTTTGATGACATTTTTTGAGCATCTTATTCACCAAGTCTAGTTTACTCATACCAAATTTAAGCTAAAAATTCAATCGGGAACACATTGAAATTAATTCTTGAAGATAATTGCGCATTTTTGCGTTCTCGAATTAATTTGAATGCGTTCTCGATTAAATTTTTAGCTGAAATTTGGTATGAGTAAACTAGACTTGATGAATAAGATGCTCAAAAAAATTCATCAAAAAATTCCATCGGGAACCGCCCCTAATCGCGACGATCGGACAAAGTCTTCTATAGAAGGACTTAATTGACTTTTTTATGAAAGTTCGAGGACCTATTTGACAGTTTTCCCCACATACCAATAAAAGTGGGTATATATGGTTGCTATTAAATTGATAAAGTAAAAATAAAATAATAATGATTTAAAACCACACAAATTTTACTAAATTAGGACAATCTTAGCGAGACGGAGTAATATTTATAACATAATAAAATCAAGTGATTTAAATTAAGTGATTTATCATATATTATTACAAATGACAATTCTATCATTCATGCATATTAATGTGTGATTATATTTTTCATACGCACACAAAAACAACACTACAATTTTCCTAAGTATTATCATATTCATGCAACAATATTAATAAACATACAATTTATGTGTCCCCGCCTAGGCGCCCGCCTAACCGCTAGGCGTTGGGCTGACACCCAACTAGCGCCTAACATCTTTTAGAACATTCACTGAATTATATTGGAATTTCAATAAATTAAGAGAAAGTTATAGGTAGTCGATCACTTTGTCCCTGGATTGCATCTGTGTTTCCATTCTTGAGGTCTATGTTTGGACTAGACACAATTGCTAGTTTTATTCATATTATATATGTACTCACTCTATCCCATTTTATAAGATATCTTTACTATTCACTTGGTCAACACAAATCACTCTTAATCTCTTACTTTATATATCAAATTTTTATGAAATTTGAATTATTTTTTGCAGGTTTTGTAGCAGTTTTATTGTAGTGTCTGAATATGTAATTTTTTTTCTAAAAATAATTTGAGTGCAGACAGGGGTCCGTTTTCTTTATCATCGGTCAAACATCGTAAACCAAAAAGTATCTTATTAATTCAATACCGACTGACTAGAAAAGATCTTAAACAAAGTACATGTAAATTCAATACCGACTGACTAGAAAAGAATACAAATTCAGCAGACACATGAGGCTCTGTAAATAGATGAATTACTGCAAACATATCTATGAAACAAGCTAGCTGAAGGAACAAAGGATTCACAACAACCATATCATGTTTTTATCAAGCCTTTATTCAATGGTACCATTGACAGATATCGATCCATCCAGTGGAGGCCTGATGATGTGGAATATAGAAGGTTCACACTCAAATGACAAGAAGCAATGGAAGCATGATCACCACCACCAGTTGGCCTGTTGTTCACAAGGAAGCGCTAACTAGGTACCCAGCAAGAACTAGCACACAGAATCCGCCCCTTCCACCCCTGCACCATCCAATTACCATCTTCATCCAGCATAAAGTATTTGTGGTACCCTTCCTTCATTTTTGCAATCTTAACCATCAACTCTGGGTTCAGAGGTAGAGGATTGAACCCAGCCCTTATAGTCCTCACTTGCCACTGCTTGTAAGTTTCAGGCCTCACAATCCTCTCTTCCCCCTCACATGCAATCACATTCAACGACTCAAGCCCATAGAATTCTTGCTCAAAGAGAAACCTCTGTTCATCGTTACGGGGTAATGTATTATCAAAAATATCAAAGAACGCAGAGTAATAGAAGAGAGCTTCTCGGAACCGGTTAACAAAGAATGGAGAGCTATAAGACCCATTACCAACAGTGTGCACAAAAATACTTGGGTTCAGTTTACGGATTAGGTTTAGGACTGCATCACGGGGACTGTCCACAATCACCGTTTCATCAAGCAGGTCTTGTAACCTATAAGAGCAGTTCACAGCAACCATCTCACCTCTCACGAGCTTCAAATCTTCAACTTTAATTTTCTCCCAATTCCGAATTGCTATTGTGTTGTACTCAAATGGCACACCAAATCGCTCACAATATTTTGCCAGGCGTCGTCCAGTCTCTTCTATCAATTCCGCTGGCCGGAAACCCGGTTGAGGAAGATCAATTCCTGTAATGCGAAGATTAGGAGGCCCACCGGGCCGAACTGAAAGATATTGAATTAAAGCAGGCCACTGGAAGCCATACTCAATACCAAAATCAATGAGATGTAGCGCTTTAGCTTCCAATGACGTCACGTAAATCATTTTATTTGTGAAGCCAATTGACACCTTCTTGAACGGGCAGGCTGACATGTAAACCTGGTATGCTTTCAACTTCTCAACAGCTGTGAACCTTTTAGGGGCTCGGGACGTATAGAGCTGAGTCCCCATGCCAGCCAAACGTGCCTCAAGACCATTTGCCAATACATATGCCAACCTCTGATTCGCATCACCGTTAAGCGAACTGTGCTTCCGGATCTGTGTCAACTGTTCATTTGCAGACTTACGGTGATCATCAGCGACAAATTGTGCACAGCCAATTAGAAGAGTCCTCAAGTCTACAGCGTCACCTGGTGTATCTCCCTGCAGCTTCTTCTTTGCATGTCTTTTACCAGCAGGTCCACCATTATGTGGTACACCCCCACCATTCAGCGTGTTTTGAGGCAGTTTGTTACCAATTGGAGCAACATTCATGCAACAGTCATTAGGATCATTAAGCAAAACATTATCAAACGTCTCAATTAACTCCTCTTCCACATAAACTGCAGGTTGTTTGCTGCTCCTCTCTTCTTCAAGCTCATTGCTATCAAGATGGTGATGGTTCTTTCTTCTAGAAGAATGATCAAGTAAATTGTCCTTGATGATGGTTTTATTAGGCATACTACCTCTTTTTGGAGGAATGGAGTATTTATCCAAATCAACAAACTGATTAGTAGCGGGGAGGAATTTGGCTGCTTCTTCCATTCCTCTCTTGAACTGCAGTTTGGCTTCTGTATCACTAAAGATATTTCCAAGCTCGCTAGAGCCCACTTGGACATTCAGACTACTGCCATACAAACTTTTAGAAGAATTTGAACTTTCAGAGAAGGTCAGAGAAGAGGATTGGAAAGAAGGTTCTGGAGGAGTAAATAAAGATGATTGTAGAGATTCAACAGTCCACTGGGGTGGTTCACTGGAATGGCCGTATATGCTGTCAGAGCTTTCTGTGTTTTTATTGCTAATGTAGGATTCACGAGGAGGGTTTTTATCAAGGGCTTCAGAGAAGTATTTCTCAGCAGCTTCAAGAGCAATTGGATCATGGAACATACCCGGCTTCTCATTGATATTCTCCTCCAATAGTATCTGGTTGAGGAACTTAAAAACAGGATCAGAGTCATGATTCTCTGGTGACTCCAACTCTGCAGCAGAAGCGAAATAGCCATTGTAGGGACTGGGTGTACTCAAAGGGTCATCCGCAAAATCCAGAACAGATGAAGAGTCGTTCAAGTAATTGTAAGTAATATCTTGTGATTGCCGAAAGGTGCTAGAAAAAAAGGACTCATCATGCTGCTCGAATGCGCTGACAGAGTCAGGCAACCCAGTCAATTGAGGATCCATAAATAAACATAGGTGTGAAAAGAACCTGCAGCATCCATAGTCAAAATGTGCATGAGCAACATTATGAAATGCGAAAGTGGACCTTGAGGCTGTTGGCCTTAGCCTCATGAGGCATACGCCTGGAGGCTTAACCAGACGTGAACCTCAAAATGTTAATTAAAACAAGTTTAAAAATATGCTTAAAATAGATAATCGATCCTAGAAGATATCACACACATGATACTGTAAAAGAAGGAAAAAGTCACACCAGTAGGTCAATATGAAGGTATAGGATAATATGAAGAATTTGTATGTTAGAAATCAATAGGTTTATTGAGAAAGCATTCACTTATACACTTCTGATAAATTATGAGACTTAAGCTATAGAATATTTGAATTTGGCACCAAAAGAAGGTTTACAAACTGAGATTCAAGTTCTAGTTCAGCATACATATATTTAGGAGGAAGAAAATAAAAACAGGTTCTTGAAATAAGGCTCAAGATTATGGAGTGAAGATTGTGTTGTTGCTCAAACCGAGATTCAGAGGCTAGCATCAGTAAATACATTTCTAACATGGAGTGATCAAACTGTGCTTTTAATGGTATCAAACACCATATATAACCACTTCTTCACTGATGATGCCCTCGGCTTCCTATTCAACACACACGAGTAAATTCAATACCAAGTGACTAAAAATTCAGAAAAAAGTCAAACATAGACTATTTGTACATCAATCAAACATATCATACTATCATGAAAAAAGTCAGTTGAGCTATCAAAATATTCATGGCCAAATCCGACTTTTCATCAAGCTATTGTTCCGATTACCATCGAAAGCAACTCCAGGTCAGGTATAAAACCAGTGTTGGCCTGTTTAATTTGATATATAAAAAGGTTCACTCAAATAACAAATAGCTACTAAACCAGATCTCCTCGTATAACAAGTAGCTACGTGGAAGAGACATAGTTCACATATTTCTACAAAGGTTCCCAAAACGAGCAAGCATACAGAATCCGCCCCTTCCAACCCTGCAACATCCAATTACCATCCTTATCCAACATAAAGTCTTTGTGGTACCCTGCCTTGATCTTTTTTCCCATCCTCAGCATAATATCTGGGTCCAGTACAAGAGGCTTGAACCCAGCCCTCACAGTCCTCACCTGCCATTGCTTGTACGTTTCAGGCCTCACGATCCTCTCTGTCCCCTCACATGCAATCACATTCAAAGCCTCACGCCCAAAGAACTCTTGCTCGAAATGAAACCTCTGCTGATCGTCACGGGGTAATGTGCTGTCAAAAAAATCAAAAAAGGAAGAGTAGTGGAAGAGAACTTCTCGGAACCGAGCAACAAAGAATGGAGAACTATAAGACCCATTTGAAACAGAGTGCACAAAAATATTTGGGTTCAATTTGCGGATTAGGTTTAGAACTGCATCACGGGGACTGTCCACCAAAACCGATTCATCAAGCAGGCATTTTAACCTATACGAGCAGTTCACAGCAACCATCTCGCCTCTAACAAGCTTCAAATCTTCAACTTTCATCGTTTCCCAATTCTGGTTCGCTATAGCATTGTACTCAAATGGCACACCAAACCGCTCACAATACTTCGCCAGACGACGCCCAGTGTCTTCTATTAATTCCGCAGGCCGAAAACCTGATTGAGGAAGATCAATTCCAGTAATGCGCAGTTTAGGAGGCCCACCAGGCCTGATTGAAAGATGTTGGATGAGGACGGGCCATTGGAAACCATATTCAATACCAAAATCTATGATATGTAGTGCTGTAGCTTCCAATGACACCATATAAATCATTTTATTTCCAACGCCTAGTGCAATCTTCTTAAACGGGCAAACTGACATGTAAACCTGATATGCTTTCAACTTCTCAAAAGCTGTGATCCTTTTAGGAGGTCGGGATGTGTAGAGCTGAGTCCCCGTTCCAGCCAAACGAGCCTCAAGACTATTTGCCAGTATGTATGCCAGCCTCTGATTTGCATCACCATTGAGCGAGCAGTGCTTCCAGATCACTCTTAATTGTTCATATGCAGACTTGCGATCATCAGCAGCAACCGATTGTGCACAGCCAATTAGAAGAGTCCCTAAGTCCACAGCTTCACTTGTTGTACCTTCCTGCTGCTGCTTCTTTGGACGCCTTTTTTTATTTCCAACTGTTTCAGGTAAAGCTTGAAGACCTGCACCCTTCAGCACATTATGTGGCTGGTCGTTGCCAACTTCGGATGGAGGTAGAATATTCATGCGACACTCAATAGGATCCAACAGCAATACTTTATCAAACATCTCTGATAACTCCTCTTCCACATAAACTGCAGATTGCTTGCTGCTCCTCAATTCTTCAAACTCATTGTTATCAGGATCAGGATGCTGATGGTTCATTCTTCTCAAAGATTTATTAAGTGAACTGTCCATACTAGTATTCTCTACCTTGATGAATGTATCATTAGGCATCTCATCTGTTTTTGGAGGCAATAAGTCGTTATCCAAATCAATGACCAATTGATTAGTAGCAGGGAGGAATTGACTCACTTCCTCCATGCCTTTCTTGAACTGTAGTATGGCTTCTGTATCACTAAGTATATTTCCAAGCTCGCTAGAACTCAACATAGAGTCCACTTGGATATTCGTACTACTCCTATAGTCATTTAAAGAAAAATTTGAACTCTCAGATGATGTGTTCTGGAAAGAAGAATGAAAAGACGGTTCATGAGAAGGAATTGCAAAAGATGATTTACATCGTCCAGGATCAACAGTCAGCTGAAGAGGCCCACTGGAAATGTCATACATGCTTTTTAAGCTTTCTGTATTGTTATGGTTAATATGGGATCCATGAGTGGAAGGAGGAGGGTTCTGATCAAGGGCTTCGTAGAAGTATTTCTCAGCTGCTTCAAGAGCAACTGGATCATGGAACATACTCGGCTTCTCATCAATGTTCTCCTCCAACAGTATCTCATTAAGGAACTTGAAAACAGGATCAGCATCACGATCTTCGGGTGAGTCCAACTCTGCAGGTTGAACAAAATAGCCATGGTGGGGACTGGGTGTACTCAAAGGGTCACCCGTGGAATGCAGAACAGTTAAAGAGCCATCCAAATAATTGTAAGGAATACCTTGAGATCGCTGGAAGGTGCTAGAAAACAAGATGTCATCTTGTTGCTCGAATGTGCTTAATAAGTCGGGAAAACCAGTCAATTGAGGATCCATGAATAAACATATATTTAAAAAGAACCTGCAGTATCCATAGTCAGTAGTCACATTATGTATGAGCAAGGTTATGAAAGGAAAGCGAGAAGGCGGTTTGCCTTAGCCTCAAGAATGTGTAAGTTAGAAAATGTTAAATTTTAAATTAACTGGTTGTTTGATTAAGAAAGCATTCATTAATAAATGTTCATAATTTATTACAACTTATAGTTAAGAGTATTTGAATTTAGCACCAAAAGAAGGTACCTGAATTGAGATTTGAATCCAAATTTAGTGGACCTACTCTTTGAATCATGAATAAAAATTTACTTTATGAGTCACTATATTCTGCATAAGCTAATGATGAAAAACTAAAAACAAAGGTTGTTAAATAGAGTATTCTTAAATATTTAAATGTTAATAAATTGGTTAAATATGTTTTTAGTCCTTGTAAATATAGCACATTTTGTTTTACATCCCTGCAAAGTTATTTTTTGTTTTTCGTCCCTGCAATTTTTGTTAGTTTTCCTTTTAGTCTATCACTAATGATAACAACCTCCGCTTGACCACAAAATAATCTCGGCTAATAATTCTTTTGGACTGTTTTCAATCCTAGATCAGACCAGACCAGACCAGATCAGACCAGACTTCCGTAGACCAGACGTTTACCAGACCAGACCAGTTTAGACCAAACGTGACCAAATCAGACCAGACCAGCAAATTTCAGTCCAAAAGAAAACATCCTTATAAAAAAAGTATTTAATTTTATTTTCTCGAAGGCTTTTAATATATATTTTGAGAATGTGAATACTTAGTTTTACATTATTTTAACTCTCATACTAGCCTAAAAATTTATAAAAAACAAAATTTAAATATTTCTAGTAGATTTATGCAACTCACAATATATATTTTTCTAAGTAGAGAGTGGTTTTGGAATTAGAGAAGGGCTAAAAACAAAGTAGTGCATATTACAAGGATGAAAAACAAAAAAATACTCCCGGTTTTGTAGGGACCTTAAACAAAGTGTGTCATACATGCAGTGCTAAAAACATATTTAAGCCTTATAAATTTCAACTGAAAATCAAATTGAAAAGAGGAAAGTATGATGGTTTAATTGTTAAATGGGCTTCAGTCTAGACCCAATTTTTGGGCAAAATTTAGAACTCCCAATAAATAGTAATAAAAGTGAAATAATAATAATAATAATAATAATAATAATAATAATAATAATAATAATAATAATAATAATAATAATAATAATAATAATAATAATAATAATAATAATAATAATAATAATAATAATAATAATAATAATAATAATAATAATAATAATAATAATAATAATAATAATAATAATAATAATAATAATAATAATAATAATAATAATAATAATAATAATAATAATAATAATAATAATAATAATAATAATAATAATAATAATAATAATAATAATAATAATAATAATAATAATAATAATAATAATAATAATAATAATAATAATAATAATAATAATAATAATAATAATAATAATAATAATAATAATAATAATAATAATAATAATAATAATAATAATAATAATAATAATAATAATAATAATAATAATAATAATAATAATAATAATAATAATAATAATAATAATAATAATAATAATAATAATAATAATAATAATAATAATAATAATAATAATAATAATAATAATAATAATAATAATAATAATAATAATAATAATAATAATAATAATAATAATAATAATAATAATAATAATAATAATAATAATAATAATAATAATAATAATAATAATAATAATAATAATAATAATAATAATAATAATAATAATAATAATAATAATAATAATAATAATAATAATAATAATAATAATAATAATAATAATAATAATAATAATAATAATAATAATAATAATAATAATAATAATAATAATAATAATAATAATAATAATAATAATAATAATAATAATAATAATAATAATAATAATAATAATAATAATAATAATAATAATAATAATAATAATAATAATAATAATAATAATAATAATAATAATAATAATAATAATAATAATAATAATAATAATAATAATAATAATAATAATAATAATAATAATAATAATAATAATAATAATAATAATAATAATAATAATAATAATAATAATAATAATAATAATAATAATAATAATAATAATAATAATAATAATAATAATAATAATAATAATAATAATAATAATAATAATAATAATAATAATAATAATAATAATAATAATAATAATAATAATAATAATAATAATAATAATAATAATAATAATAATAATAATAATAATAATAATAATAATAATAATAATAATAATAATAATAATAATAATAATAATAATAATAATAATAATAATAATAATAATAATAATAATAATAATAATAATAATAATAATAATAATAATAATAATAATAATAATAATAATAATAATAATAATAATAATAATAATAATAATAATAATAATAATAATAATAATAATAATAATAATAATAATAATAACAACAACAACAATAACAATAATAATAATACAACAACGTTCAAGCCTTAACCCCAAAAGAGTTTGGAGTCGGCAAACATGAACTGACGTGTGAAATCGAAGTTAAAACAATAATTAAAAAAAGAGAAACAAAATCAGATCAATCCTCCACACATATACTCTCCCTCCACTTTGCTCTATCTAAAGTCACTCTCATGATCTCATCTAACCTAAGAAGTATGATATCATTCTTGACCAATCTAATTCACATCTGTCTAGCTTGCCCCCTCATGCTCTTCCCACTTTTCGCTCAAGTGTCTCATTACTCAAATGGTCTTTTACTCTTTTCTAATATGCCCAGCCATAGAATAAAGCAAGCCTAATTGAGGTTTGATAAACCTTACCATTCAGTCTAGTTGGCATACATCAACTTCATAGAAACCTTGTCACACTCTTCCACTTCATCCACCCATTTTGATTTTATGGACACATGTCACTCTAATTCACTGTCCTTCTGAACTATGGAGCTCAGGTAACGTAAACACATCAGTGACCATGATTTAGTCTTACCATCCATAATAATCTGAGTGTTACGGTGTTACCATTGTTTCTACCTTCAGTCTTGCTTCAACTCAGCCCGAAACCATAGTTCCAAAATCCTTTAACACTTAATCTAGTATCATCAATCAACACAACATCATCAACAAACATAATGTGCCATGGTATCTCTTTTTGAATTGATTTGGTGAGTTCATCCATGACTATAGCAAATTGGAAAGGACTTGGAGTCGATCCTTGATACACTCCGATATTAATAGGGAACTATGTTGTCCTCCTTTTTATACTAGCACAAACAATTGTAGTACAATCCGCATACATATCAATAATGATTTGATATACTTAGATGATATGTATATTCTAGTTAATCTTCCACTAAAGGGTTTCTCCAGGCACCCTATCATAGTCTTTTCCAAATGTAGGTCTTTGTTTGTATATCTATACTTAGCCACAAGTTGCCTGATAAAGTGAATGCCCTCGATCATTGAATGACTTGACATAAAACCAAATTGATAATTACAATAATAATAATAATGCAAAAATTTCATTATTATTGCATGAGTAGAATATGGTCAATAGAAATTAGAAACATGAGAACCCTTCTTCTTCTTTGTCATTACCCCAGTGCCGCAGAAACATGCGAACCAAAATAGTAAAAATAGAAGTGAGGGAATTGGTAAATCAGCTAGACAATTTCAACTAGAAGTAGAAAGAAGTGAAGAGAATGAACATAATAAGAAAGAAAGAAAAGGGAAAATGTCTACATGGTAAGTTTATTCAGAATCTGGAGGCATTAGCATTTTAGGCATATTCTGAAATCTGAACGCATATGAGGCTAAGACAACCTTAGACGCCTTCAAAAATAGCGTATATCAGGGAATGATGTTCGCAAAGACAGTGATTGAATGGTTTTGGTAACAAAACTATTGACACCTTTATTGATATCATTAACAAATGCCAAACAGCGATATGTATGCATCCTTATATAGAAGAGAAGTATACTGCACACCTTCAGGTTGTCTTCATATTATCATTTATCAACTCATGTCAAAAAATCTTAGACTTTTTAAGTTTGCAGGTGCCTTTACCGGCTACTCAGAAAAGGAAACACCATTCACAGTAATTCATAGAGAAAAATGTAATATGCAGAAATATGGATTCCTTTAAGAATTACCATTCAACTTGAAGAGAAGATCTAAATATTAATGTTTATTCTAAATGTATAAATAAATATTTTCACTTTAAGAATCACTTGGCTGAAATACTGGATTAACAAACAAAAAGGAATACTCAATACTTCAAAAGTGGCCAAATTACCAAATTGGTAAAAAAACGGCAACAAATTGGTAAAAAACTAAAGCTCCGGTAACAAATTGGCCATTTTTTGTAAGCGACACACTTTTAGTCATTGACTTTAGAATTCCCAATATTTAGTCCTCTCAGTATTGTAAAATTGACATTTGCAAACCTTCTAATTTGATTTTGTCGTGAAAAGTGGACTAAAATTGACAATGAGTGATTGGTTGCTAGCTGATAGCCTCTTGAATCGGAAGATTGATACAACAGGATTCTGTTAGTTGTTTTAACCAACCGCTTTCATTAGCGGTTAAAGTAAAATGTTTAATAATTTAACTAGTTTGTCATTAGCTTTATTAAGATGCAAAATGTTTATTAAGGATATGAATTTAAAAGTATATAAGTATAAGTTAACTTTATTATTTTAAATTTTAATTCTAATAAGTTTTGGTTATTATATGAAGTATAATTTAAAAAAAACTACTAAAATAGTCATATTTAAAATGTCATTTATGAAAATTTTTGTTATTTTATAGAGTATAATTTTTTAAGGACTAATAAAATAGTCATATTTAAAACTAATAACTTTATTCTTTTATTTTATCACTATGAATATATTTACTATTTTATATGGAGTATCATTTAAAAATAATAATAATAAAATAGTCATATTTGAAATATTAATACAAAAAAAAAATTAATTTATATGTGTGTGATCGTGTATATGTACATATATTAAAAAAAATAGTGGTAGTAAATATATAAAATAAAAGTAAATATAAATTTCTTAAAATCAAAATTTATGAAAAAACTAAAGAAATAAAGTTAAATTAAATATATGCACTATTAAATTAATATCCTTAATGGTCATTTTACATCTTAACATTTAATCGATAATAGCTAAGTTACTAAATATTTTACTTCAAACAGTATATGAAAGTGATTGGTTAAACCAGCTAACAGATTCCAATAGTACCAATCTCATGATTCAAGTCATTCAACCTGCTATCAGCTAGCGGCCAACTGCTGATTGTCAAACACGACATTTTTAGTCCTCCCCACTTTTCATGACAAAATCAAGGTAACAAATTAAGAATGTCAATTTTACAATACTTAGGGACTGAATGTTGGGATTTCTAAAATCGAGGACTAAAAGTTTCTCACTACAAAAAATTGATCAATTTATCGTTGGAATTTATTCTTTACCAATTTTTTGCCAGAGCTTCTTTTTTTCCCAATATGTCGCCGGAGGTATTTTTACCAATTTGGTAATTTGGCCCTTTAAGAGTTGAGCCTTCTTGTTTTTCCACCATAAACAAATGCTAACGTTTCCAACTAGATAAAAAAAAACACGCAAGTGGAAGAACATATACAGAAATTCATACAAAGTAGAAGAATTTGCTAGGATATAGACTAGACATCTACCAAACCACACCAGACTTAAATAGACTAGATCGGACTTAAACAGATCACACAAGAAAATTGCATCCAATTATTTTTACAGTAGAAAATTTCATCCAATTACACGAGAATAAGAGAGGTTAAAATTTCTTTTATAGGAGAGGACGAGTCCAATTTCGGGAAAGAAATAAAATGTGGTGTCTTGCAATTTACTCTATTTATCCAAATTTCCAAAAAGTTTAGCTCAAGGCCAAAATCCTAAGCCGTCACACTGAAAATGGGGGGAAAACGCATAAACCGTGGTCTTGAATGGAAATGGGTGTTCGAAGTCCAGGAGAAAACGGAGAAGTGCTCGAGTATGTTGGAATTTCAACAAATAAAGAGAAGTACTTTAGGCAGTCGATCACGAGAGAAAAGATCAAAGGAATGCACAAAAATCGCTCCAAAGATAATTCATATGTGTACCTTGGAGCCTAGTAAATTGGAGAAGACACCGGCAGAACCGTAGCGAACGCTGAAACAAATGGGCGCAAATCACTCTTAACGGCGGAGGAAGGGAAAAATCAAGGACTATTCTTCATTTCTTTCTTCCCAGTTCCAACCGACCTCGATGATTAAGATTTAAGATTCTAATTTCGTGAAAATGCTCGTTTGATAGCTTGGAGGTTAAAACTTAAAACTCTTTATAAAAAGTTATTGGACTGCTTTATAAAAAGACGTTGAATACTGCTCCCTCGACCCTCGGAGAGCCTCCTTCCCAATTCCATAAAATAAGTTTGTTTGTCTAATGGAAAAACTGAAAAGCGATGTAAAGCATCTCTCAACTTATTTATAGTTTTTAGCTTTAAAATGCTTAATTTAAATATAAGTTGTTATTTCAAAACACTTATTTCAACTTTTTAAAGCTAAAAGAGGAAAAGTACTTTTTGAAGTGTTTGTAATCACTCCCTAAGATAATGTGTATTATTTGATTAGAGTTATGTATGTGAGAAATAAATGTGTAGGAATATGAAAAAAATAGAGATAATTACCCTAGGTATAACTAAAACTCCATGAGTTTCCCAATCTATGACCTAAACAGTTTTTTTCTTAAAATAATATTAAAAAACGAAATATTTAATTAAATTCGAAATAATTAAATAATAAATAATTTTTTGTGGACAAATATACCCTCTAGATTATACCTATAAAGCCCTAATATTCTACCCATATTCTCCAACCCTCCGGTCGTGCATAACCTCCGCAGCCCACCCAAGCAGCCGCATCAGTCGATTCTCCGCCCACCGCCTGGCAGCCGGCCACCGTCCAGCGCAGCCGCCACCACATATCTCTTGCCTGGGAGCATAGTTTCCGCCTTCCGAAGATCGATCGATCGCCTGGGTGCACAATCGCCCGTCCTGTGCATCCGACCAACAATGAGAAGGTAAATAGTCCAATCCGTATGATTCCCGTCTGACTTCCGATCTATTGTGAATAACGTCGCCCACATGTAGACCTGCGATGCCAATCTGCCAATATAATCTCCAATCCGATCTAGAAATCATCCACGAGGGTCGTTGCTTTGACATCACCAAAAAACCCAGCGTAACGGGGCGCTCAATCTCGAGAAACGCTCCTCTATAGAGGCGCAGAATGGGGACTCATGCTTTGTGCGACTCTGTATCCCTCTGTACAGTTTGGTGGGCTGCTGCTTCATGAGCACATGCTTCGGAATGAGTGGGGGGCGTTGGTGTTACGTGAAGATGGGTGTGCTTTGGATCTATCCATTCTCTTTTCTAATTTTGAAATTTGGAGTTTTTAAATTTGGGGTTTGTGGACATTAAATATTTGCATTGAATATGGACAGTAAATATCATCATATGTATTGTTGAGTTTGGCACTGAATATGGCAATAAATATGTTTTACATGGCACTGAATGAATGCATTAAGAAAGTTTTTGTGTAATGATTATGATTGGTAGTGCAGTAAAATTACATGTAAAATAATAAAATTTTTAAATCTACAGAAATAAAAAATAAAAACTATAAATAATTCCGTAAAGTGATTGAGAAGAGAATTAATTTTGGCGGAAGTGCAGTGATTATTACCGAACCTGCAGTAATGTCGTGCATTGAGGACGTGCATTAAGGACAATATAAAGTGCAGTAAATTTAATGAACGAAATTAGTGTAAAATGCACGTATTTTAAATAAGGGTATTTTCGTCATTCAACAATTAAATATAAACGAAATATTACTTTTTGTTTGGATTTTCGGTCATACAAATGTAAAAAAACTAAGTTAGTCATAGATTGATAAACTCAATGAGTTTTAGTCGTATCCCGGGAAATTTCCCAAAAAAATACGTGAACAAAAAAATCTTAATTAAAAAAAGGAATAAAGAGATAATTTAGAAACGGACGAAGAGGGAAAGTTTGAAGGAAAAAATGCAAAAAAAAAAGGGGATGGAGGGGGTAGTATTTTATAGTTGAGAAAAAAATGAAGTTTTTCACTATAATGCTTTTGCATTATTTAGTCAGTACTGATCATTATATCAAACGAAACTAAATTAAACAGTCATTGTAGATCATTATATCACAGAAACTAAATTAAACAATCAGCATTTTATTGAATAGATATTCCATATAACATTTTTCTTTTAAAACTTTTTTAGTCACTAAAACCTACTTTTTGTTATGTATACCATTTTTCTTTTAAGATTTTTTCAGTCACTTCTAACAAAGTGGAGGGCGCACATCTATGTGGATGATTGATGTCATTTCTACCTTTCCTCTCTATTTTCTTTTATCGTTTATCTTCATTATCTTTTTATATTCTTATGTTATTCTTATCTTCTAGCTTTTTATGCTCTTTTATCTTTTTATCTTTTATATTTCTTACTTTCTTATGTTATTTTTATCTATATTTATGTATCTTTATTTTATCGTTTTATCTTACATTTTTTTCCTTCTTGTCTATCTTCTCTGTTTGGCATCGATATCATAGATTAATTCATGTTAGTCGATCCCAATTTTTTGGGATTAAGACTTGGATGTTGTGGTTGTTATTGTTGTTTTTAGTTCTTTTGCAACATTTTTGTCATGTGATTTTAGATTGAAGATAGAGTGCTTTGGTTTTTTATTGAGAAATTTAGATAATTGCAATGTCTTAGGGGGCATTTAAGTCGTCTTTAATTATCTCATTTTCTAGTGATAAGTGTTTTAGATCATCTCCACGACATTCTGTTGTAAGTCACGGGTTGTCAATTCATATCTATAAAGAAGCATTTGTTTTAAAACATTTTGTTTTTTTTACCCATCCCAATCCAACCCGAACCTACCCCGAAGTTCGTAAAACCAGACCAACTTGAAAGCTTTCGGGCTTTCTAGGTCCTAGCCAAAATCTGACCCAACCCGATCCATACTCACCCCTACTTAAATATCATGTATCGGTTCCTGTTAGCTGACCACAACATATTTTAAGACTAATGGTGGAATTTTATTGTTATTGCTATTAGAGTGAATTACCTAAGAGTAAAAGGTAATCAAAAATAACAAATAGAACTACATTGTTTTGAATTCACTAGCAGGACTAATTATGTGTGTTTGAACAAATATACCCTTGTAGCTTTTTGGACTAAAATAATTATTTGATAAAATTAATAAAAATAAAAAATTAGAAAAATATAAATTATAAATAAAAAATTAAAATTTGAAAAAAAAAATTACAATAAACTTAAAAAAAATACATTGCCGCCTCTACCGCTCCTAGCACCACCAGCTCTAATCACCGGGGAAAAATGGCAACATGTACTAGTAATACCATATTGATGACAATTTCAATGAAACTTTTGGCATTATCAAAGAGTAAAATGCCGTTTTCTTGACATTTTCATAAAAAATTGCATTTTTTCACCGATCGAAAGTGATAGTTCTAGGGAGCGGTGGAAAAGGCAGCGATATTTTTTTTTATAGTTGTTTACTATTTTAATTAATTTTATATTTGTTTTCAAATTTTTTTTATAAATATTTATAACTTTTTATTTTTTTGCGATTTTTTTTTATTTTTAAGATTTTATTATGAATTAAAACATTTTATTATTATTTGATACTTAGAAAGTTAATATTCAGTCCTATTTGTGAATGATTTAGGGTTTTGTCATATTTGTGAAATTAAGTTTTCATTTAGTCTTGTTTTAATTGTTATTATCCATTTACAGTAGGATAGAGAAATTGAGTAATTATTATTATTGTACTAATCCCTATATGGAAAGGAAGGAAAGTGGAGTGTCAGCTTAATTTTGCGACATGTCTCACGGTATAGAAAGGTGAATACGTGATTTTGGAACAGATAAGTATGAATACAAGTTTCTATGGGATTGGAACAGATAAGTATGATTGTATGAATACAAGTTTCTATGGGATTGAAAAGCGGTTTAAAGCATTTCTCAACCTATTTATAGCTTTTAGCTTTAAAGTGCTTAATTTAAATAGAAGTTGTCATTTGAAAATACTTATTTCAACTTTTTAAAGCTAAAAGGTGAAAACTGAAAACTACTTTTTAAAGTGTTTGCAAACTCTCCCTAAGATAATGTGTATTGTGTGGTTAGAGTTATGTATATGAGAAATAAATGTGTAGGAATATGAAAAAAAAATACGTGTACAAAAAAATCTTAATTAAAAAAAGGAATACAGAAATAATTTAGAAACAGGCGAAGAGAGAAAGTTTGAAGAAAAAAATGAAAAAAAAAATGGGATGGAGGGAGTAGTATTTTATAGTTGAGAAAAAAATGAAGTTTTTCACTATAATGATTTTGCATTATTTAGTCAGTATTGATCATTATATCAAACGAAACTAAATTAAACAGTCATTCTAGATCATTATATCACAGAAACTAAATTAAACAATCATCATTTTATCGAATAGATATTCCGTATAACATTTTTCTATTAAAACTTTTTTAGTCACTAAAAACTGCTTTTTGTTATGTATACCATTTTTGTTTTAAGATTTTTTCAGTCACTTCTAGCAAAATATATGATACCACTAGACACATTGTCAGAAAGATCATATATGGAGAAAACACAATAATTATGTATCAAAAGTAACCAAAAGTAACCAAAGTAAAAAAAACGTGGACCAACTATGGGATTGGAACGAGACTCGATTGTAGAATCAAAAATGAAATTTGTTCATATTAAAACTAACGGAAATTGATCTTCTAAATATTATATTTTGCTACATATGGTTGCATTTAGTGGCAGTGCCAAAAACAACTGGGAGAGGTCGAACTTAATTAATTACGATAGTACATAATAAAATGATGGATCATTTGTAAATTATATCTGATAATTTACGTAGCTTAGATAATGATTGTTTAAATGAGAAGTTATACATTTGTTATATATGACATAGAAATTATGAAAGAATGTATAATATGTTTACAGATTTTTGGTTAACAAGACGGAGGACTACTTTTGTTCTAAATGGTAGATTTCAATCAATAATTAGGTTAATCACCGAATTCAAAAATAATCATGACCATAAAGTTCTTGTACAACTAAAGGATTCTAGACTAGAATTGCGGAGAAGAAAACAATATTTCAACTTTAGATCTCTAATCAAGGACGCTCAAAGTGCAAGCAAAAAAATAATCCATAATTAACTACTCCCTCCGTCCCAGGGAGAAGTTCCCGGGTTGACTTTCATACATATTAAGGAAATAAAGTTACTGAGGTGTAAATTTTACTGTTTGGCACTGTTTCGACACTGTTTGGCACTGTTTCGACACTGTTTGGCACTGTTTTGCACTGTTTGGCACTGTTTTGATGTAGGATAACTTTCCATTTAGGGAAATGGGAACTTTTTGTTGGGACTGCCAAAAAAGGAAAGTGAGAACTTGTTCCTGGGACGGAGGTAGTATTTATTATTCATTTTAATAAAGTAAGTTGAATAAAGATGATATATCAGACAAGCGAGAAAATCGTGCAAATTATATCCTACAGTCGGTTGTAGGGCATAATAAATACACAATGTCTATTGGAGGGCATAATAAAAGACTCCATGCATTGGAGGGCATAATAAATACACAATGTTTATTATTAATGAGGTGGCGTTTTTTTCTTAGACTAAACAGTGCACATTGGGGGTGCTCTAAATAAATGGGTGAATGTCTAGTCTAAATAAATGGTGCCACCTCATGAAATTAGACATTGTGTGTTCATTTTCATCTCCAATGTAGTCTATGTGCTGAGTTGGCTAAAAAAATTAAAACGGTGTCCAGCAAACTTCTTAGTGTAGACATGCATATTAACTTGCTGACTCAACCACAACAGTAGGAAAAGGCAGGACTCTCTTCGGAAAGAACTGAAATATGAAAACTTCTCACCCCAATTTCGACAACAAACACCATATCTTTCTCAGATCTAATATGTAAAAATTAAAGTCAGTAATTTTTTATTTGAGTTATAGATCCGGTGTTTCTGGGTTTAACCATGATCCATTCACTGTATCTATGTGCATATATATACATATACAAACTAATACACACGTTCCTACAGTATCTGTTCACTGTATCTCTGTTCATACACACACACACACATATTTTATACAAACATGCAATGAGAATACCAATAAATGGATGGATTGAAATTGAACTAAATTTTGAACTCCTCTTTGTCTAGCTCCTTCTGAATGTTATACGAAGTAGGAGAAAAATAATTTGAAAACAAAATCTGTGAAATTCGTTTTCAGAAAATCGACACTTGACTTGAGCAGTTAGACTTTATGCATTGGAAGTCTTTTACGTATTTTAATATCTAGTCACCTCACATGGTATTATATGGATTAGAAAGCCATTTATTTATTTGACATTTGTCACTTTTTTTAGACTAGACATCCACCCATTGTGGATGCTCTAATGCATCTGTCATTAGTGAGTACTGCAATCAAGCCTTGCACTTTAAGTTAGACTTGAGGTGAGTATTATATTTATAACATGTGTAGAATCCACAATCAAGCCTTGCACTTTTATTAGCTACTAGTATATTAATTCGGGACCAAATAAAATTAAACGAAACTAAAAATACTGGAAAAACAATCCAGAACTTCATTAATGGATAAACATAAAATATTCAAGTACATATGACATACTCTGACGGTTTACGACACATGTAGGATCTGTACCTCATCTGGTCCAAGACCTTTGCGAGAAGGAAGGGGAATGTGATTATGTTGCTATTTTGTGAACTAGTGATGATTTGAGCAATACATCCAAACCCCCCACCCTAGGCAAGGACGCTGACCTATGGTGCCGCCGTGCGTCACTGTGGAAAAACCGAAAAACGAAATAAGCATATTCTAACTAGGAACCTATAGTGCCTTATATAGACCATCAAAAGGAATGTCATCTATCAAGGAATAGATTCCTAATAACAGGAAAGAATGACTATCATCATAAACAAGTCCCTAACTTAGCCACCAGTTAAAGCTTCCTGATTCAGTCACTGTTTCACATGTCCGGCTAGCTGGAGCCGCAGATAGATGAAGTCCGTAAAATAGCTGTTATTAGGTCTCTAAGAGAAACACTCCTTGTTCATGACCCAAATCGCGTGGATGATAAGAATATGCAACTCTTGGATAGGTATAGAAAAAGCTATGTACCTCTATTTTGCAGGCACCCAACATGAGCTAGCACACAGAACCCGCCCCTTCCACCCCTGTACCATCCAGTCACCATCTTCATCAAGAAGAAACTGTTTGTGGTAACCAGCCTTCAACTTTTTTTTCAACTCAGCCATCAGTCCCGGGTTCAAGGGAAGAAGCTTAAACCCAGCTCTACTGTTCCTCCACTGCCACTGCTTGTATGTCTCAGGCCTCACAACCCTCTCTGTGCCCTCACATCCAATCACATTCAACGCCTCCCGCCCAAAGTGATCATCCTCAAATTGAAGCCTCTGCGGATCATCACGGGGTAATAGAGTGTCAAAAATATCAAAAAATGAAGAGTAGTGGTAGAGAGCGTCACGGAACCTAGAAGCAAAAAATGGAGAACCGTATGATCCATTGACAACAGCTTGCACAAAAATACTTGGGTTGACTTTCCGGATTAGCCTTAGGACTGCGTCACGAGGACTCTCCCCCATCACCTCAATCTCATCAAAAACGTCTTTAAACCGAAATGAGCAGTTCACAGCAACAATTTCCTCACCTCTTCTTGCAAGCTTCAAATCTTTGATTTTAATTGTCTCCCAATTCCGAGTCGCTATAGCATTGTACTCAAATGGAACACCAAAGCGCTCGCAATACTTTGCCAGGCGGCGTCCAGTCTCTTCTATCAATTCGGAAGGCCTAAAACCAGGTTTTGGATAATCAATTCCAGTAAAGCGAAGTTTAGGAGGCCCACCAGGCCTGTTTGAAAGATGTTGGAGAAGGATGGGCCACTGGAAACCATAATGAATGCCGAAATCTATGATGTGTAGTGTTTTAGCTTTGGATGACGCCATGTAAATCATCTTATTTGCAAAGTCTATTGCAATCTTCTTGAAAGGGCATGTTGACATGTAGACCTGGTATGCTTTTAACTTATCAAAAGCAGTGATTCCCTTAGGGGCTCCGGATCTATAAAGCTCGGTCCCTGTGCCGGTCAAACGCACCTCGAGACCGCGTGCTAAAAAGTATGCTAGCCTCTGGTCAGCATCACCGTTGGGTGAGCAGTGAAGCCAAATCTGTTTTAGTTGTTCGTTTGCAGACTTGCGATCATTAATAGCAACTGATTGTGCACAGCTCAATAAAAGAGTCTGCAGATCTACAGCTTCCGTTGTTGTATCTTCCTCCTGCTGTTGTTGTTGCTGCATCCTTGCACGCCTTTTCCCGTCACAGTGTGGCATACCTTTCCCAACTATTTCAGGCTGACTATCCTTCACGCGACTTGGAAATTTAGGATCAGACAGCAAAACCTGATCAAACGCCTCCGATAACTCCTCCTCCACATAAACTGCAGATTGCTTGCTGCTCCTTTCATCTTCAAACCTGTTTTCGTCCGGATGCTGATGCTTCTTTCCTCTAGAAGTATTATTGAGTGAAATGTCGAGGTCAGTAAAAAAATTATTAGCAGCAGGGAGAAATTTATTTGCTTCTTCCATTCCTCTCTTGAACAGCAGTACAGCCTCCGAGTCACTAAACATGTGTCCATGGTCATCAGCATTTAGCACTTGGATATTGTTCGTATTTAAAGAACAATTTGAGCTCTCAGATGATTCAGAAGGATCAACAGTCCACTGAGCCGGGTCAGAAGTATTGCTAGAAGGGGGAGGGTCCTTAGAGAAGGATTCATCAGCATCTTTAAGAGCAATTGCATCATGGAACATACAAGGTTTCTCATTGATGTTTTCCTCCAGTAGTATCTGGTTGAGGTACTTGGCGACAGGGTCATCACCATTTGGCGAGTATAACTCTCCAGGTAGAGAAGAGAAAAGGTTGGAAGGGGGTGTGGCAGTCAAATGGTTATTCATGAAATCCAGAGAAGCTAAAAAGCAATTGTTAGGGGTATCATCAGATAGCTGAAAGCTGCTAGAAAAGAAGAATCCATCTTCCAGACGTGATGTTTTTACAGAGTCGGGCAACCCACTGAACGGAGGATCCATAAACGATATAGTACAGAGTATGTGAGAAGATAGAACCTGCAGTTAAAAACTGTTATTGGATCTGATAACAGTTTCAAAACAAAGAGCATCCCCACCTCTATGATATCATTATTAACAAATAAAATTGCCAAATATTAAACAGGACTAAATCTGCATATACTCTTCATATTATAGGTGCATTCTTCTTTAGAACAGGACTAAACCTCCAGAATCTCTTCATTATATATAATCATTCATATCGAGGTTAGAGCAATCATGTCACTTGAGTTTGGTCTTATAAGCACGTAATTATATACTCAAAAAAGATTTCATTCCTTCGGCAAATAGCACATCTGAAGTCTGAACATGTAAGTCACGTGGACTATACATATCCCAACCAATTGTTCTAATTCTTAAATATTTATATATTCTAGCAATTTACGTATGATCTAGGCCTATCACCACGGCCCACCACAGCACCCACTGCAATCACCCATTACAACTGACCACTTACGCCGCCAACAACAAACAATGCCGCAGCCGCCGTCAGCAACATCAACTAAGTGTAAACCCAACCATCATAATAATAGCTGGCTACTGGCCTACTGCCGTAAACATGAGTTAGGAATTATGTAGCACTTCACAGAACCTTCTAATGTATTTGATAGACCTTGCTTCAAAAGTGAAGTAGAGGGACCCACATTTATAGTATATATCGTTTTCCATCTATTAAAAACATTGTTCTAAAAATTGGCCTAGTCGGACCGATTAATCGGCCTAGTCGGCCCTAACTGTAGAGGCCTAGTCAGTAAAAAAATCGGCCTAATCAGCCGCCTAGGCGCCCCTCAACCGCCGGATTAGCACCTAGGGAGTTTTAGAACAATGATTAAATATATATATATATATATATAAATCAATACTTAGATGTGTGTATTTTTATGAATTAATTATTTTTATGTAAAAATATTACTGAGTCAATTTTTTTTTGTCCCGATGGTTCATCCTTTCGGGCAGGCAAATGTCGGGGAACATTTGCCTGAATTTATTATAAATGAGTAAAATTTAAACAGAGCGTTGGTGAGTCCCAAACAGAAAAGAGAGCCTCGGTTCGAAAAATAAACAAACGAGGTGATGGCCCAAGTGGTACTGAGTCAATAATAAACCTACAAATTTCTTAGTTCTTGCTAGTTGTTAAACTGAAGCAAATTTCTTATGACAATAAATCAATACTAAACTAATTGACAATCACATAGTTAATCAGTTCATACAAATAGTAAATTTCTTTTTCAATTGTAATTACAAAATCATACAAAGAATAAACAAATTCAGTAATTCATATATATGCAGAAAAGTATAAAACTCAACATAAAACTAGTGCACACAAGAGGTAGGGTGATCTTGTGGGACTTTTTTAAAATTGTTGGTCGAGCTAGTGTACTTAAGTCCAGGTATATTAAGACCTCAATTGATGAGAGCCCTTGTTCTTAAGAACAGGTTTCACCTGTTATAAGCCGGTCTGGTACTTCAAATACATCTTTTTCAAATCTGAGATAATAAAAAACAAAAAAAAAATAAGAGAATCAAAAGTAGAAAACAGCAAAGGGGAGGACAATCACAGGCTGGTCCTTCCTATCCTAGTCAAAAATGAAAATATCCATAGCTTCAATTGTAAGGAAGATCACAGTCATGGAGAAAACAAATAATTTTTTTAATACATTGGAATGGAATTCCAATAAATCAAGACAAGCAACGTTGGGCAGTCAATCAGTGAATGACTGGGAAATTTTTCGAAATTTTGTTCCAGAGAAAGCAAGAGTTCAGACGCGTACCTTGAAGAACAGAGATATACTTCGGTGACGGGGTGTACGAACGTGAAGGTGAATTTAAATGAGATTTTTCAATTTTAAAAAACATGCCAATGGTTGAAAACCCAGATTTTTTACCCTTTCGTATTTTTATTTCAATTTCCTTTGTTATATAAGATTTTCAAACAAAAAGTAAAAAATCTCGTATAGTAGGACATCAATAGGTCAAGGTCCAACGAAAAAAACTGTGAAACAAAGACGAGATTATTTTGGGACGTAAAGTTTGGATTAATATGAGAAGACTAATAAAAGGTGAGATTATTCTTGTCATTTTTTCCTTACTTTTTTGATAATTTTTTAGTACTTTTTCCTCACAATAGTTCATTAGTAATATGTATAATAAAAGTAGACCATTTTTTCAAAAATATTACTACAATAATTTTTCATACACAAACATGATTAATAGTTAATGCAATTTAGTGTCATGGTAGCCTAAGTTTAAAAACTAAACAAAAGTTATTATGATTTCGCTATTATTTTAGTCATTATTCACATTTTTGTAAACAATCTTTATTTTAATCATAAGTATGTAATTATTTCATAAAAAAATTAGTAATATTGAAAATATTAAAAATATCTTTTAAAATCATAAATCAATGTTTTATGTGAAAAGAAGGGTTTCCTAAAATATTACTAAAAAAATATATGGACAAAAATATAGGAGTAAGTTTTATAGTTACTATAATGTATCATTTAAATACAAGTATAGTAAGTTATTAGAGTCATGTTTTAATTTCTACTACTTTTGATTACATGTTTGAAATTATTTCTTGTAATAAAGTAATGTTTTAAATCTTAAATCGATGTCTGTTCCAAAAAAAAATCGATGTTTTCAATGGGGTTGAACGTCAATACTTTCTCTTTCAGTTCTCTAATTGACATTTGACTAATATTTCTCTTATTAGATTGGTTTTTTTTTCTTCTATGACTAAGGTTGTGTTTGGATGACCGTTTAGCTCAAAATGAGATGCTACTTTATAGATTTAAATTATTAATTGATATGTACAGTCCGTTTGGTAGCATGAAAATTGGCTGATTTGCCTAATTCTTGCTGAAATTTATGAAGTTCTGACTGAAATGACCACATTGACTAATTATGTTTTGGCTGATTCTGCTTTAATTTAGCATGATAAGCCCATTTTCAAACTTTATTTTCTTTCAATCAGACAATATGCTTTAATTTTAGTTAGTTTTTTCGAAGGAAAAACTACAGAAAAGGTACATGTGATTTGGGCCATTTTCATCTAGGGGCACGTGTTTCATTTTTTAACAAAGTGGGACATGTGTTTCAATTCCGTTATCACATCAGGGGCATGACATCTAACGCCGTTACAAAATATAATCCCGGATTTCAAAAGTCCCCGAAACATTAAAAGAAAAATACTGGGAGGTGCGCTTCATCAAGGATACCAACAAACTATCTTTCTTTTTTTTGTTTCCAGCCACCATGTCGCAAAAAAATCCGCCGGAAAAGTGATATTAACAAATTCATTTTTTAAAATTAATCCAAGTAGAGCCGAAAAATTCAAAGAGAACGATAGTTTGTTGGTCTCCTTGACGAGGCACACCTCCCAGTATTTTTCTTTTAATATTTCGGAGACTTTTGAAAATCATGGTTAAATTTTCTAACGGCGTTAGACGTTATGCCCCTGCTGCGATAACAGAATTGAAACACATGTCCCACTTTGTTAAAAAACGAAACATGTGCCCCTATCTGAAAACGGTCCAAACCACATGTATCCTTTTTGTACTTTTCCCTTTTTTCAATCTCAACCTCCGGCTAGATAGAGTCAATGAGTCATAGAGATTTGTCGAGTATATTGGGAAATAACTAGTATGTCATACGTACCTAATTTTATTTAGAGAAATTGATCAAATAAGCCTTCATACTGTTATCACAAAATCAATTGAGTCCTCCTACTATTAAATCACCCAATCAGCCCCTCCAACACTAAAAAATACGTATCTAATTTTTTAAGGCTTTTTAGCCGGTTGCTTATAAGTTATGCCGGTTGCTGCTCTATGTGGATTAATTTTTTCTTTATTTTGGTCAACCGACTTTTGCATCAATTCTTCCCTTATTTTGGTCAAAATAAAAACTTTTGGCACTGTTCATCTTTCTCCTTCTGCATTTCGTCTCACCATCTGATCCCTTAGACAGCGTCGACACTCTCAATCACTCTCTAACCCGTCTATTTAAGACTTTCCATGGCGGCGGCGCAATTTACACAGCCCTGCCGTTTATAACCGTCTCCGCCGCCTCTATCTTCAGCAGCCCCACCATGGGTGGCCCCGCCACGGGCTTCTGAACCGATGCCACGGCGTTATAGATCATCCCCTCCATTTTCACAGTCTCCAATTGCCCAGCGGCGAGATTGGAATCGATGACGTATGGGCAGGGAGTTCTGTGTATAAATTAGGACCAGGGCGGCCCTAGGGGGCGATTGCCCTAGGCCCAAAAAAAATGAGTAAAAAATAGGATGAAGTTTAATTCTTTGTAATAGGTGTGACTAAGCTGATCTTTCAGTCCTACACTAACAATTTTTCGGGTGGAATTTGCTGAAGTTCTTCGGAATGCTTTTTTTTGGTAAAAACTTAGGATCATGTTCTCTATGAAGTGTAGATTATGTAAAAAAATGGTTCAAAGTTCAATTTAGAAGTAAGTTAAATAAATTATTCAAAAGCACTGAGTTTGTACGTATACATATTTTAGTGCATTGTTTTTCAGTAATTTATTTAACTCATGAGCGGAGCTAGGGGAGGGCCATCCCTGGCCCTGGTCCAGCCCAAATTTTAAAAATGTCTGTATTTTTTATGTAAAAAATTCCGTGTAAAAAATTTTCAAAAAATATTCTTTGTATCGGCCCAGTCCGGCCTAGTGCTCTAGCTCCGCCCCTGATTTAACTCACTTCACGATTGAATTTTAAGCTGAAATTTCATGAGCATAATTTACACTTGATGAAAAACATTCTCTTAAAATTTCAAAAAAATCCACTAGGAAGCAAATTAGTCTGATATGATTATTTGATTAGTTTATTAACTGATTTCATTCATAGTTGATTGTTTGATTTCTTAATTGTTGATTGTTTTCTATTGAGTGTTACTGTTATAACTTGTTGATTTTGTTAGACAAACATTTCCAATCATGATAAATTTATTAATTTAATTAATTTCAAGGTGTAATAAAAAGGACTGAATCTGAATAGGATAAATAAAAATGAGGAGAAAATTATAGAAAGTGGCGTCGAGTAAAAAATTCAATGGAAGGTTTACTTGTGTAAAGAAATTAAATTATGAATGTCCCTTCAAGATGAGAACTCATAGAAGAACAAAAATTTAGCTACTAAAAATAAAATGATTCAGAATGATTACATCATTGGAGTGGAGAAATAAAGATCACCATTATTATAATGTGATTGGTTTAGACACAATAGGGTTTTACAATTTTTTTTAAATGTCTTGAAATATTATTATTATTATTATTATTATTATTATTATTATTATTATTATTATTATTATTATTATTATTATTATTATTAGTATGCATGTCAATTTAGATAGAAGAGAATTACAAATTTTTTGAAAGTTTAGGCCCATTTTAATTTTTTGCCCCTAGGCCTTCGAACATACCGGACCGCCCCAGATTAGGACCTCTGTTCTAAAAATCGTTCTAGGCGCCCGACTAGTCCCCGCCTAGGTGCTAGGCGGTGGCCGGGCACCCCGATTAGGCGCTCCGACTAATTGGTTTTCCGTCTAGGTGAATTAGTCGACCGCCTATGGCGCCTAGTTGCGCGCCTAGAGCGCCTAATAGGCCGCCTAGGCCGTCTAGATTCACTGAACTACTTTACTTTTTAATTTTAATTTTTCAAATGATTAACGTACTTTAACTTTAGTCATGTATATAAAGAAATGAAGTTGTAAATTAAAATAAAATTATATATGTTTGTATATATACCTAAATTTTATCATTATTTATATCTATAACATAATGAAGTTAAATGATTAGTTATCATATACTCCGTACTACGTATGATTAAATGTGATAAGTCTATCTTTCATGTTTGTTAATATATAGGTATATATGCATTTTATACACACAAAAATACAATATTACTTATCATATTTATGCAAAAATATAGATAAAAATGCAAATTTTATGTCTCCGGCTAGTCCCCGACTAGGCGCCCGCCTAGCCGCCTAGGCGCTAGGCGCTGGACTGGCGCCTGACTAGCGCCTAGCGCCTTTTAGAACATTGATTAGGACCAACCGGAGAAGCTAAGAGTGAAACCCCTCTCTGCTTTGACGGATGAAAGCTTGAGCACTATTCATCTTCCTCCATGGTCGGATGCTCCAGTGAAGTTTAAGACTTTGAAGTTGTTCATTGAATCCACAAGGACCATAAGCCCATCCCAGATGAAGAAAATGGAGAAAGACCAAGTTGCAGAACAGATAAGCATGTTGCATGGAGAGAGAGAAGAAACAGAAAGAAAATAAAAATCAAAAGGAAAGAAAAAAAAAAGTGCAGCCACGTTGGTTACCCACTTAGCATTTTAACTTGGTCACCGTTTGTTAAAAAAAAAAGGATGACACCCATTCCTGAGGGCCTCCCAACACCGACCGGACAGCACGATGGGAGGATGGAAGTTGGACTATAATCACAACCTGACAGATAGAGAGTGGAGCTCCGTCCCCAGTACTTACAGAGGGGGCCCTATGCATTTTTCAACATAGTAACCTCTTAGCGCAGTTGCCGGGATTCGAACCCGAGACCTAACCCTTGTGTCACTCTCTCACTACCAGTTGAGCTACGCCCACCGGTTGGTCACCGTTTGTTTACCGGTTGAAAGGTTGGATTGCTGTTTTTCTAAAAGTTTAAGGGCTCAATTGGGTGATTTGATAGTACAAGCGTTCAATAGTAGGAGGACTTATTTGACAGTTCTCTCTTTTATTTATCATATTGAGTACTTTTTTTATTACGTAGTAATATTTTTACTTGAATTTATTTTCGTCCTAAACAAAATCAGATCGAATTTAAAAAGATCAGATCAGATTTAAACAGACTAGATCAGATATTGATAGTTATAAAATAAACATAGATTAGACGTTTCTCAGATCAAACTAGACAAGTGACCAGACAAGTTCAGACCAGCTGACCAGCCCA